CATGGTGATGGCAAGCACATAGGTTTGCTTACCAGGTTTTGGAGAATTTAAAAATATTTTTTGCTTAGTTTCCCAAAGAGAAATGATGTCTAGGGGGGGAGGAGGGTGGGCCGTGGAGATCCAGCTGCCCGCAAGACCCTGGGCCAACAGCAGCCTGGAGTGGTCCACCCTCCCCCAACCCCTCTGGCCACAGACACAGGCTCCCCGGCAGCCAGGCCGTGGGGCCCGGACCAGCAGGGGCTCCGGGGCTGGGTTCCCCGTGGGCTGCGGGGGCTGCCCTCCTGCCCCGGCCCAGTCTCCTTCTGCAACGGCCACCCGGCAGCAGATTCATGCGCAGATTGGTGCAACCTCAAGAAACATTTACCTAAGAAGAAGTCTTAGAACTCAGTAACAAAAAGACAAGTGACCCCACTGAAAATCAGGCAAAGGCTCTGAACAGACGTTTCCCCAAGCGAGACACAAATGGCCAGTGAGCACATGAAAGGACACCCGACATCGCCAGTCGCCAGGGAAATGCCACTCACAGCCACAGTGAGATGCACCCACATCCAGCAGGTGACGTGAAGGGGTCCAGGGACAGCTAGAATTTAAAGATCAGACAACAGCGAGCGCTGGCGAGGATGGGGAGACACCGGGACCTCGCACAGTGCTGGTGGGGGTGCAAACGGGGCAGCCTCTGGGGACACAGTCTGGCGGCTCCTGGTTAACGTGTGACCGGCAAACGCAAGCCCAGGTGTGCACAGGGCTGAAGGACACGTCCATGCAGACCCGCACGCCAACGTTCGCAGCAGTGCTGTTCACGGCAGCCAAAAGCAGACTCCGCACAAGTGTCCACCAGCCGATAGATGGACAGACGGCGTGGCGTGTCCATGCGGGGAACGCTGTTCCACCACACGCTGCGAGGATGAACCTGACACACCGTCCTAAGCTGAAGGGCCAGACACAGGGTGGTCACCTAGCAGCCCCCTCATTTGAGTAAGGACTGAGTAGCTTTTCCTGTTCCGTCACCCTGAACTGAGCCCACAAGGCCCCCACTGAGGGTCCACTCCACCCCCAGTGGCCTTATGAGGGCTGACCTAATGCACCTGCAGCTGACAAGGAGACTGAGGCAGGGTCTCTTAAGGCCAGAGGCAGACACAGGAACCCCACTGACTGCCCTTCCAAGACCGGGGTGGCAGGAAGCCTTGCCGCCCCCGTGGGGCGTGGCGGGCGGGGCGTGGCAGCAGCTCACAACATATCTGGCTCTGCCCACTGCACACAGCCGTGGCCTCTGGGCTACATCTGAGCCTGCAAGCCGGCAGGTCAGGACAGGCACAGGGGACACAGAGAGGCCCCTCCTGTGTGTCATCGCTCCATCTCCCTCCGTCTCCACCCACCCATCATCTGTACCTATGTCGGCCATCACCTGCCTACTGTCATCTGCATCTAACCATCGTGTGACACCTGCCATCGTCTCCATCTGTCATCTAAGTAGCCATCTTTTCTCTCCCCTTTCCCCCATCTCTCCCCCCAAAACCGGAGTTGGCCCAGGGGTAAGGGGCATGTGGGCGGCAGATCCCCCGGGTCCCCAGCCGGCTGGCACATCAGGAGGGTCTGGCGCCTTGGGGTGAAGCCCCTCCCTGACTGCACCTTTAGCTCCTGGCACTTCAAGGCCAGCTGCAGACATCACTGCCCCATGTGCATCCAGGTGATGGCCCCCACCTGGCCCTGCACCTCCAGGTGACCCTCCTAAGGTGCTGTGGTGTTGCCGCCTCCCAGCAGGGGGCACCAGACTGCAGCGTTTCTGCTTCCTGGAAGGTGGCGCTGACCCAGCCGGTTAATGGGAGGAGCTGGCTCCGTCCGTGTCCCAGCCCCCAATTGCCAAGTTTTTGTAAAGCCCGTGTGGCCGGAGGCCCTGAAGACCAGCAGAGCCTCCACCACCATTACCCGAGTGAAGTTTGTGGAGGAGACGCCTGGGCCTGGTGACCCCCACCCCGCACACCTCCATCCTGGAGACCCCGCTGTGGACCTTCTTGGTCCTCCCGCCCTGTCCCCTGCGTCCACAGCACCACCACAGCCCCTCCCTGGCAGCTCAGGGTTCTCACCGGCTGCCCACCCTGATGTCTGTTGCGTTATGTGAATCCAGGTTGGAAGGTAACAGAATCCTGGCTCGGGGAATCTCCGTGAGTTAGGGTCTCCCAGCTGAGCCCTGCAGAGGGGCCGCAGGAAACCAGCTCCAGGAGAGCTGTGGCCCTGGAGTCCCACCCTGGGGGCTCTTGCCCAGAAACACAGGGTGGCCCCTCAGCCCCTGGCCTTAGTGAGCCAACCTGCCACGTGTCGGGGAATGCTGTTCCACCACAGGCTGCAAGAATGAACCTGACACACCATCCTAAGCTGAAGGGCCAGACACAGGGTGGTCACCTAGCAGCCCCCACGTTTGAGTAAGGACTGAGTAGCTTTTCCTGTTTGGTCACCCTGAACTGAGCCCACAAGTCCCCCACTGAGTGTCCACTCCACCCCCAGTGGCCTTATGAGGGCTGACCTCATGCACCTACAGCTGACAAGGAGACTGAGGCAGGGTCTCTTAAGGCCAGAGGCAGACACAGGGACTCCACTGTGTCCCCACTCCAAATCCAGACCTCTTGCCTGGACTCCCTGCTCTGTTAGGACTACACACGTGTCCTCAGCGCCTCCTCGCGGGGCAGAGCACAGCTGGGGTCCAGTCCAGGGGTCACACCTCGGGATGGGCTCCTGACGGGGCTCTGCACTCTCAGGCCAGCTGTGGGAGCTGCCCCTGTGCCCACCTGGTGAGGAAGTCTCCTTCCTGCCCACGGCCTTGGCCTCACCGGGGAGGTGGTTCCCGGGATGGCTTCTCTCTGGTCTCACTTTGGTCTCAGAGCCACCTGCTCTGCACTGCCTGGGGTCTGCCAGACTGGGCCCCTGCAGGGAACCAGCGATGCCCTCGCCCTGGCCTCCTCTGTGCCATAAGGGAGGTCGCTTCTCTCTGGCCCAGGAGAACCTACCGGAGGATTGGCAAACCAGGCCTGCCTTCTCGGGCTGGCAGCTAGGGAAGGTCATGGGGCCCGGTGAGAGGGGCTGCTCTGGAAAGAACCCTGGAGAACCTCTTCCAAAAGGAAGAGGCCGAGCGGTTCCTTCATCTCGGCCAAGAGTCCCAAGGGCGCCCATCCCTGCTCAACGTACCTGGTCCTGCAGACCCGGGCAGCACAGGGACTGGCGTGGGAAGCCTCTGGTCATTCTCTGGGAAGGGCACAGCTCAGCATCCCCGTGAATGGGGACACCGCCATCCACCAAGGACGTCTACAGGCCACCCAGGTCAAGGCTGGCCCTGACAAACCAGTGCTGTCTGCACGAGGCCAGGGTCTCCCCAGGCAGTTTCCGTTGGCACCTGCCCCAGGAAAGCCGGCTTGCTCTTGTTTCTGCTTTTGTCTCTCTTCTCTGACCGAGTTCACGGATTTCTGCGTGGGGAGGGTGACTTTGCTTGGCCGAGTGTTGTTGGTGGTGGTGTTTGAGTAAAAGTCTGCCGGGCGCCAAGCCTCCTCGAGGTGCTGAACCAGTCGCAGTCCCTGCTGCTCTGGTTGAGAAATCCCCGCGGCCTTCCGGGCGGCTGCAGGCACGGTAGGACTCACTTGCAGATCCACTGGGGCGCTGACTACCCTGAGTCGGTCATTTCACCCCTCCAGGGGCTGAGTCATCAGAGGCCCCTGACTACACTGCGGAGGGCAGAACCTGTGCCGCTCTGCCTCGACTTGAACGTGACGGGCCGTCTCAGCCCAGGTGGGCCGGCGTGGCCGCAGTGGGAACAGGGTCACCGGTGAGGAGCACAAGCTGCCCGCGCCTCCCTTCAGCTCCAGGAAGAAAACTCATCAATGCCTCAAATCACTACCAAACATGGTTTCTTAATGCCTCCATGCGTCTCATCGAGCATCCCGGGCGCGGCCAGGTAATGCGTGTTTTCCCTAATGAAACTAAGTGGTGGCTAATGTTCTTCCACGGCCGCCAGCAGGACGGAGCTAACGCAGCCCAGCTGCGGCGCGGACAACGCCAGCACCAGCCCGGGCCTTTCCCTGAGAGGCACCTCTCTGCCCTCTGGGCCTTCTCCTCACTCTGCAACACTCAGCATGGAGCTGCAAAATTTGATTTCATTCCTCCAGAAGAGACTAGAGATTCCTAATTCACAGGGTCACGACAAAGTCACTTGTTCTGTGGCTTAATAGAAAGTTCTTTAGTGTTTCCTGCTTTCTCGTCCATAAATATATTACTCTCACTAGAATGTCTGATTTAGGCTCAAGGTGGGTGAGCTGATGCACATCAGATGGGAGTCCCTCTTGTCAGGTGAAGACTGTTGCGAAAAGGAGCCCCGTGTGTGGCCTGTCCCTCCTCTCCAGCCTCCTGGGGGAAGGGAGCAGCGTGTCCAATACCTCACGCTTCTCACAACGTCCCCAGGGAGCTGAGCTGTACTCCCTCCTGTCCAGCATGCGACAGCATGCCTGCCCCGCCGCCAGCTCTGCGTGCTTCGGAAACCAGCGAGCGCCCTGCTGCGTCCCAACACAAGCACCAGCACAGTGTCTACCAGGAGAAATATGCTGATGGGCTAGATTCGTAGACAATATAAAATTACATCCATAGGTTCGTAATTTAGAGAAGACATAAAATTGCAACTCAACACAATGAGCTTTTTTAAACTAATGATTTTATTGTTTCCATAAAAATGATACATCCTTGTTATAAAATGTAGTCATAAAGAAAAACACAGGGAAGAAACCACATACCCGCAAACACTCCATCACCTGGGTACCGCTGACCGTTGCTGCGCAGTGTTATAAACCTCTCTCCGTATCTGTGTGAAATTAGGACGTGTCTACATGGACAAGCACATTACAAGAACAGGATCATGAAACACGTGCAGTGGCTGTTTTTAAACATTTTCTGTTCCTATTAAGTACAAGCCATTCTTTGTGTCATTTCCCAGCAAGAACTGGCAGCTAAGCAAGCACCAAAGATTTCAGAAAAAGATGGGATTTATTTAATAAACTTGAACCTTGAGAAAATCCCATCCAGGACTCGGGTTGCCATAGATGATGTAGAGAAGCCTGCGCAGTGCCCGGAGTGCACCATGTCCCCTGCAGCTGCCCAGCTCCCTTGGGGACACAAGCACTCGCTTAAGTCCCCAGCTTTGCAGCAGCCACTGGGCCTCAGACCAGGGCACCCTCCTCTGCTCCAGGGCCCCTCCACGAACAGCTGCCGATGTGCTGCTGGCAGAATACTGTCCCCAGAGACGTCCTCATCCTGGTAGCCTCTGAATATGGCAGCTTCCATGGCAAAGGGACTTTGCAGATGGGATTAAGTTAAGGGTCTTGAGAAGGGGAGATCACCCTGGAGTATCGATCACCGTGGTCCCTGTAACAAGGGAAGCAGGAGGGTCAGATGCTGCGCCGTTGGCTGAGGACAGAGGGACGGGCCACCTGCCAATGAGCGCAGGCACCCAAGAAGCTGGCCAAGGTGATGAGGCAGAGGGGATGGGTCCTGGGGACCCATTTTAGATTTCTGACCTACAGAACAGTCATATGAAATGCATTTGTGCTGCTTTCAGCCCAATTTGCACCACCCCTTAGTTCAGCAACAGGCAGGTGACACAGGGAGCTTCAGGGAGGGAGACTCTGACTCACTCGTGAAGCCCGAGTGGAACATACTGGAGAGACAGAGGGAGGGAGACCCAGCTGGGACAGAGGACCCGGCCTCGTGCCCGAGCTCTCCCGGGATGAGAGCTGTGTGAATGAGGCCCAGTGTGTCAGCCCAGGGGCTGCGGGAGCCGGACCAGGGAGGGGGGCCTTGGACGTCCGGGTCAGTCATCACCTTCCCAGGAAGGCCACTCTGGGGCCGGGCCTGCAGTTGCCTGCAGTGACTTACCTGGTTTATCTCATGCCCAAGGACACTTGGAAAATGTTCTCGAGATTGTCTTTGGGCACCTCCTAACAAGGCTATTGGTTTACTGTGACAAGTGCATATGAGAAGTAAAATGAATTCTCTGCAATGAACTACCCAAAATAATTTTATGGCAGGGAGCCAAGACGCCTGGACTCTTAGGCATCACACTTGTAGCAGCCCAGGCCTAGCAAACCACAGGCAGTGCCAGGAAGCTGCTGCTCCCTGTGAAGGAGCCACTGGCCACACTGGCACTGCCTGTGGGCCATGGCACTGCCTTTCCCCTGTCAGGACCTGGTGAAAGAAACCATGTATGTCTGCATCAGCCCCACTTGAAACTCACTGAGCTCATTTCAAAATGAGAATTTACTCAATTTTGTATACAGAAAGTTCAACTTCAAAGAGTTCCATGCATATATATTTTTTTAACTTTCCATTTCAAAATAATTTCAGACTTTCAAAGAGTTGCAAAACTAGGGAAGAGTTTGTAGATCAGCTTTCCCAAATAACATCTCATGTAGCACTGCTGACACGTACTGGCGATTGTTTTGTAGAATGTCCCTCAGTTTGAGTCTGTCTGATGTCTCCTCCAATCACCCATTTTGGGCAAGAAAACCAGAAGTGATGTGCCATCAGCCTACCTCCTCTGGCCAAGGTGACCTCCACGGGGACATCGCCACTGCTCCTTGTAAACACTGGGCACCTCGAGGGTCGCCAATACTCAGCAGGCGTCCCGCTTCATGTCACTGCTGGTTCTAGTCTGCAGCTATCCTCACGGTGGTTTCTTGAACAGCAATTTTCCGTTCCCTTCATTTCTTCCACCTCAGTCAGAATAAGGGAGACTGTCCCTTCCCCTAATTCATGTCAGTACAGACTTACGGATACTGATTTATTCTGTGGGCTATAACCCACTGTAATCACTATTTACTTTCTTGCTCAAACTGTCCCGGATTTGGCCATGGGAGCTCCTGTGTTCTTTCAACAAGCCCTGTCGTCTTTTCCTGCAGTTCCTCACTTTCTTGCACAAGACATCCTGGGCCCACTCGCACTTTCCCCGCCCAGCTTATGCATACACACCACCCCCAACAGCACCCCATGGGGGTGGAACCTTTTTTGGTTTCACTTACCCTCAGTCAACCATGGTCCAAAAATATTAAATGGAAAACCCCAGAAATAAACAATTCCTAAGTTTTAAACGACGCACCACTCTGAGTGGTGTGAAATCTTGCACCATCCTGCTCTGTCCTGCCTGGGACGTGTGTCCTACATCCAGTGTCTCCACAAGCCGCTGGACAGCGCACACGAGACTCTGCCACCAGAGTGGCTGCCATGGGGTTGCAGTGCTGTTCCCAGTCACCCTAATTTTTCGTGACAAGGGCCCCAAGTGCAAGAGCAGAGGAGCCGGCAATTTGGCTATACCAAAGAGAGGCTGTGAAGTGCTTCCTGTAGGTGATGGTGACAGTGCTTGACTACAGAAAACAAATCCTGTGCTGAGTGGGCACGACCTACGGTAAAAACAAATCTCCTGTGAAACGGTGAAGATGGAAAAAGAGATTTGTGCTAGTTTTACGGTCACACCTCAAACTTTATCACAGGTGTATGTGTGCAGGGAAAACCGTAGATACAGGATTTGACACTATCTGCTGTTTCAGGAAGCCACTGGGTCCTGAAACATGTTCTGGGCGGATAAGGGGTGACTACTGTATCTCTCTTTTTTTTAAGACAGGGTCTCACTCTGTTCCCTGGCTGGAGTGCAGTGGCACGATCACAGCTCACTGCAGCCTCCAACTCCTGGGCTCCAGCAATCCTCCTGCCTTAGCCTCCCGAGCAGCTGGGACTATAGGTGCCACCACCATGCCCAACTAATTTGCATATCTATTTCTATATCTGGCTACCTTATAAGCTAGAAAACCAGGAATTCGATATACCTATACCTCATTATCCACATATATTTTTAGTTTTTTTCCATCTTAGAGTACACATAGTTTCAGAATTGGTGTCCATGTGAACTTACTACCTAGGAGAGGGGCAGGATCTCTCTGCCCCTGGCTGTTAAGGCAGGTACTATGGCTGGTGCCTCTGTGACACCAGCTCGGTCGCTACTGTGTTGCAGTTTGGGTCCCTTCACATCCCAGTCTATTTTCTGAGAATGTGAAATGTCACCATGCGCAGAGCCGGAACACCACCACCAGGGACCCCAGAGCATCACTGGCAGCCAGGCACCCCGCTGGTGACCTCCTATGTTTCTGGTTTACCCTTCCTGAATTTCTTTTATACCAAGAGGCAGGTATTTGTAGTTTCTTAAAGCCCTTCCTTGTTAACACACTCTAGATGCCTTAGCACTTTGCTTTCTTTGCTTAACAGCATGTTATGGGCCTGAAATTGCTCGTCATCAGTTCCGCTTTCCTCCCTACACCCCTCCCATGCACTGCCTCACCAGAGCCTGCTGGGTGGGTGCCTGGCTGTCCACGCAAGCACTTGTGTGTGAGGCATCTGGGTGGCTTCAGCACCTTGTAACTACAAACAGTGCTGCAATAACTCACCATGTGTGCATACACGATATTCTGATAGCTCAGTGTGGTTTGGTAAAACAAACCAGGACTTTTCACAACTAAGCACACTTAGAGTGCGGCAGAGTCAAATACTGAACAGTGACCCTGCACGTGGTGACAACGATGGGGGCCATACGGAAGTGAACCCAGTCGTGGGGGTAAGTGAAATGAGGGGTCTAACCAAGAAAGGCCACCACGTGGGACAGGAACTAGAGGGCCTCTAATGCAGAGGGCTGGACATGGGCTGAGAAGCCTCTGCCACCTGTAGGCCAGAGTTGGCTGGCTGTCCCCACCAGCTGGGGCTTGGAGAAGACAACCCCACCAGAGCCGCTGCCTGAAAAGGACATGCCCGGGATCTCCCCCGCTTACCAGTCCCTGTCACTGACCAAATAGGGGCTTCCGCTTCCCAGTAGTGCCTGGACAGGGGTCAGGTCTGGGGACAAACAGGCCCAGACGTGCATGGCACTCACATTCTATCCACAGTTTTGGACCTTGGCCCATATCAAACTCACTCAGACATCCTGACCGAGCAATCCAGCAGCAGCTGGGGCTGAGAACCACCATGCCGGGCGCTCATGGACACCAGGCGCTGCAAGGCCACTGCCCCGACACAACCTTGGAGGGCCCCGGGCAAGCGCTGGCCGACACAGAAGTGTGGGGCCTCAGAGTGAGACACGGAAGACAGCCTGTATAAGCTAAGTGCAAACAGACTGATGCTCTATTTTTCAATTACAATGAGTTATTGGAATTAAATATTTAGCTTTATTAAATAGTCTGATACAGATCAGAAAACGACTCTTTGATTATAAAGATATTCGGTGTTCAGGCATAACCAGAAAAAAATCAAGAAGTCAAATATGTCCAAAGCCAAATGATTTCTCACTTCCCTTTCTGTATTTTACTTTTGTTTTTTTAAAAAAGGAAATGAATTGGCATATATAAATTTATGAGTACAAAAAGGAAGCCCGTTGTGCTAGGGAATGGTTATTTTCCGAATCTCTGTGTACAAAGCAGGCTGAGGTCTGTGCACATCTGGCACGTTGGTACTGAAAAGCTACTCAGTGCTGCAAACAAACCCAGTGCTGCACGAGGGCCCAGGTCCCTGTGGCCAACAGACTCACGCTGCATCCGCACCCCGGCTGGGGCCTCCCTGGGAACCCGTCCCACATGTGGGTTAAGGATCAAACCCCTCCCTGATAGGAAAACAAGGATCTAAAAGAAGTAATAACTTCTGAAAATAATCGGGGAGCTTCACAAGATAAGTTCCTTCCTTTGTGACGAGGCATCTCCATGGGACTGTCCACCTGGACTCGATGGGAATGTCTCACGGCACCTGAAGGCCCATGCCAGGGCACAGCCGCGTAGGCCTCCAGAGTCGAAGGAGGTGGCAGCGTCCTCCCACGCAGGTGACCGCTGAACACAGCCTAGGGCTCCTCTCATCAAAATTCACTTTTTGTCTCCGATTTTCCATCTATCAAATCTCCAAATCCCAGTTTCTCCAGCGGCTCTTGAGCCATCAGTTGCCTAGAAGAAAAATGGGGAGGTATCAGGACAGAAGGCACAGGGCTACCAGCGGGTATCCCCATAAGGCCATTGCTTCACCCCCAAACCCGGAGCTCCTGTCACCCCCACTTTACTGCTTGGGAATACGGACCCCAGAGAGCAGCTCTCTTGGTCTGAGCCCTTGGGCCACACCCCTCCCACGGGGCCATGTGGACCTGCCACCCAGAGTCACACTCCAAGTGCCGAGAGCCTGAGGGGCTCTCTGAGGCAGCCCTGCTGGGGCAGGGGTGCACCTGCAGACTCAGGAGGGCAGCCGTGGAGGGTGAGGACAGGGCTGGATGTGCACAGCACGTGTCCACACAGGAGGGCCTGAGCCCCAGGATCCAGGGTGGAGCCCGGCTGGGCACACACAGCAACGAGTCTGAGAACTCCTCACACCTGGCTGCCAGGTAGCTGTAAGGACACACCTGAGGGGGCAGGAGGGCAGAAGCCAGTTTAATGATTCATGAGCCTCACCTGTAACCCTGCTATTCAGACACTAGGTACGCAGCTCCACGCACTCTGGCTCGGGTGGTGCGGCCCAGCGCCAAGGTGGGGTCCTGCTCCTGGCCCCACCCACCAACCCCACACAATGGCCCCTTTTCTAGATCCACCTGTGTGTCAGCCTCCGCTGTGTGGGTTTAGTCACAGCCAAAAAGACCCGGACACCCAACACTGAGTGCCCTGCTGGGCCTCCCGCCTCTCCCACCACCCAGGGCTCACAGTCCAGGGCAGAGGACCTTGTTGGTTTGTTTTGTTGGGGAGTGGAGGGTGACACCAGCGTCAGAGAGGCAGCACAAGCTGCCGGATGACTCCAGTAGCCAGATTCCCGCAGCCTCAGGCCAGCCCCGGCTGTGGGCACACGCCAGCCACCCTTGCCAGCTCCGTGCTCTCACAACGCCCATTTGAGCTGGTGTGTCTACTTTGGATTTAACACAAAACTGGCAGCCCGGGGCCTGGCACCCGGGAAGCCCTGGTGGTGATGCCATTGTGCTACTCTGGAGACCTGGTAGGTGCCGCCTACTTGAGAAGATCCCTTCATGTCAGAAAGATGAAGAAAAGCTTTGGACAAGGTGGCGAGTCAGGCCTGGAGAGACCCAAGGACACAGTGTGCCCGGACTCCCCCCATCTCTACTCACCTGCACACATCTGTGGGCCAGGCAAGCAGCTGCAAGCCCAGAGGGCAGAATCTAAGACAGTGGCAGCCCTGCCAGTGTCTCCTAGGCACATGGCCACACACTGGCCTCCAAGCATTCTCTGCTGGCCAGGACAACACCACAGGCCAGTTTATATGTGTGGCACAGGGGGAGAGGGATGGGCTCAGAGTGCAGGGGGCGGAGAGAGGGGTTCAGAGTGCAGGGGGGAGAGAGAGGGGATCTCTCTGCGACATCATTTCTGAGGCATTAAATAATGCAGTGCAACTGAATTTTTACATATCCCATATTCTTAGGACAATGATAATGACAAGGAACACTCACTGATGCTCACCCTCAACTTGGCGGGGCCTTCCGAGGATGCTCTCCCTCACCCTCCCAGCAACCCAGTGGTGGGGGGCGGTGTCCCCATCCTCCGGGGGGCTGCTTGGCGCCAGCCTGAGCACTCTGTGACGGTGGGTGTGCAGCCACCACACCAGCGGATGTCATAAACCCTGCCTACTCCCCAGGATGGGACCTACACTGAACTTCTAAATTGTCATGGAGGCTTATGATCTTAGCTCATATGTGCATTCGTCATTGTCTTTGCCAACAACTTGGATTTCTGGAATCCTAACCTTAATTTTTTCTATAAAAAAGTGCAGTCATCTAAAACACATGTATGTTCTCACATCAGGCCAACATGGTCCAACTCCCCATGAGACAACTTTGAAAATCCTACTATTGTCTGTTTTCTTAAAAGATGCACCTGGAAGTAAGTGGGGTAAGACAACGTCTGGGATTTCAGTACAGAAGGAAAAAAAGGAAGAAAACAGGGTGGGGGTGAAGCAGCAGGAGTGTGGGATATGGACACTGGGCCCGGATGCCAGGCTGTCCTCTGCTTCTCGAGTTTGACCATTCTCGTGAGCACCCACCCAACCAGAACTCTACGGTCAAAATACCGACCACATCAGAAGTGCACCCCACACCTTCCCCTCCAGGCTGCCTGGTCCATCAGTAAAACCACCCGCAGTGGCGGCACCCACATCTTCTCCTCACTGTCCTGGGATCAGGACACCTAGCTCGAGAGAGGCAGGAGACTGCACACTGTCACACCCAGACAGAGACCCACTGCAAACCCTGCCCCTAAAGCCTGGCAGCACCGAGAACAAATTCTCTTACTTTCACTTTCCTAAAGCTTCATCAATCTGGACAGTAATTTAAACATGTGGTTCCAATTGACATGCTATTTAAAGACGGTAAGGGCAGGACCCGGTGTGGCCCTCAAAACAAGAGCCACAGGGGGGGGCCACACTGCTGAGAGGGCCCATCACCCTTAAAGTCCCAAATGTCTCAAACACAGGTATGGCCTGAAAGGTACAAGAGATTTTCCTTGAGGGAAATGTTTGAGTACATCGTGGGAAAATGAAAGGAGAGCTCAAAGGGGACTGGTTAATGCCAACCTGTCTTCAGTAGGGACAAGGGTGTCTGAAGACTGAATTCCTTAGTGAGCTAATTATGGCCTCGAAAAGCAAAATAAAAGTTCCCATCACCATTATTCAATTATACATCACATGCTTTTTTGCATTAAAATTTAAAATAGCTCTTGTTTTAAGTAAAAGCTGTATGGATCATGGTTAGAAATGTTTTTGTTTTGTTTAAAAGTGTGCTGTCTCTGTATGTCAACTAAAAAAAAAGTGAGCTCTGGTGAATTCTAGTTAAGACAGGAACAATCACTCATCTTTCATCCTGTCTTAAATAACCTATTGTCCTCCCTGTTACATTCCAAACAGCTCTATGTGGAACAAAACAACACAGTGCATGTTTTTACAGTCTGCAAATGTGAAAGAAATAAACTGCATCCCCACAACCCTCAATCTGTTGGCTCAGTGAGCATTTTATAATGTACAATTCTGAAACCTTAATAACAGGTCAGTAGCACCCAAATTTGGAAAGAAAATGCTCTGAGGAATGCAATCATGTATAATGCTGTCACTCAAGAAAAGGTTCCCAAGATTGCTTAACAGCTTTTAGGACAATTTCATCTGCTAAGCTTCATTTTTTTTTTTTTTTTTGAGACAGAGTCTCACTTTGTTGCCCAGGCTAGAGTGAGTGCCGTGGCGTCAGCCTGGCTCACAGCAACCTCAATCTCCGGGGCTCAGCGATCCTACTGCCTCAGCCTCCCGAGTAGCTGGGACTACAGGCATGCGCCACCATGCCCGGCTAATTTTTTGTATATATATTTTTAGTTGGTCAATTAATTTATTTCTATTTTTGGTAGAGACGGGGTCTCGCTCAGGCTGGTTTCGAACTCCTGACCTTGAGCAATCCGCCTGCCTCGGCCTCCCAAAGTGCTAGGATTACAGGCGTGAGCCACCTCGCCCGGCCTCTAAGCTTCATTTTTAAGGGCAACCATTTCTACAGTTCTGAAATACACAAGTTGTTTGAAGGCACAGACACATTGAAAAACAAATTAAAAAAAAACACAAAAAAACCACAAGTTGAACCCAGGCCTGATATGATATGATAAGGCCTGCTGCAACAGCCTTTTCGGTAAAAAAATGTTTTGGTTGGAGAAATCGGGTGGAAGTCTTGTTAGCTAGTACTTGCCTGTTCATTCTGCATTCTAAATATTCTTTTGACTGAATTCGGCACAAAGCATTTTCAAAATTATTGTCACGGAGACACTTCATGAATTTGTCTTTAAAGCTTTTACATTCACCTAGAATGAAAAAGAAAAGTGTCTTCGTTTAAAAGTGTAACACGATGCACCTGCACAGCAGCCTTAAGAACTGTTCTACTTTTCCTTTCAAAACTTGTTTCCTTCAGAAACATGCTTAAAGTGACGCTGGAAAAAACAAATCTACAATGTGGTAAAGTCAGTCCAGTAAAATATTAGGGGTACGCCCCAGACCTGCACCCCGACAAACCGGCACCCCAGACCACATCCCAGACCCGCACTCACCCCAGACCTGCACCAAGACAAACCGGCCCCCCAGACCACAGCCAAGCCCACACTCACCCCAGACCTGCACCAAGACAAACCGGCCCCCCAGACCACAGCCAAGCCCACACTCACCCCAGACCTGCACCAAGACAAACCGGCCCCCCAGACCACAGCCAAGCCCACACTCACCCCAGACCTGCACCCCCACAGACCGGCACCCCAGACCACAGCCAAGCCCGCACCCACCCCAGACCTGCACCCCCCCAGACCGGCACCCCAGACCACAGCCAAGCCCGCACCCACCCCAGACCTGCACCCCCACAGACCGGCACCCCAGACCACAGCCAAGCCCGCACCCACCCCAGACCTGCACCCCCACAGACCGGCACCCCAGACCACAGCCAAGCCCGCACTCACCCCAGACCTGCACCCTCACAGACCGGCACCCCAGACCACAGCCAAGCCCGCACCCACGCCAGACCTGCACCCCCACAAACCCGCACCCCGACCACACCCCAGACCCGGCGCGCGGCCCGCGGACGGACGACCCTGCCCGCCGACCTCCGGCGCTCACCGAAGTGATCCAGCGGGAAGCTGCCCTTGTCCGGCGGCCGCGGCTGGAAGCTTTTGGTCCCGAAGTTCATGGCGGTCGACATGACTGCTGCGCCAGAGCCCGAGAGCGCCACACGCAGCGTACGCAGGGCGGCCGGCTGAACGCCGAGCGCCGAGCAGGCCCCGGGTGCGCCGAGCGCCGAGCAGGCCCCGCCCCCGCCCTGTCCTGGACTCCGGCTCTGCCCGGCCCAGAGGACCCCGAGGAGGGCAGGCGCTGCTCAGCGCTCTTCTGTCCCCTATGACGCTCGCAGCAACCGGGCGGCAGAAGCCCAGAAGCCATCCGGTGTGGATGGGGAAATGGGCTCAGAGAGGTTCGCGGGTCGCCCGAGGACACACAGCCGCCGGGGCCGGGCTTCCGCGTCCGCACGGAGCCGGGTGAGAACTACTCTGTGACGGAGCGTGCGTTCGCCCAGGCGCGGCTGAGCGGCTCAAACACCAGAAACTTGGTCTCAGCTCTGGGGGCGAAGGTCCAAGGCCAAGGTGTGGGCTCAGGGACGGTCTGCCCCTCGCTGCCGGCGCCATCACTCTCTGGTGCTCCGCGGCTCCAAAAACACCACCCTCTCTGCCTCTGCTTCCACCTCCACCGGTGCTCTGTGTGCCTGTCTCCTAATGTCCCCTTTCCATAGGGGCAACCGTCATGCTGGGTTAGGGTCCCCGAATAACGTTATCTTAACTAGTTACATCTGCAACAACCCTATTTCCAAAAAATATTCTAAGGTATTGGGGGTTAGGGCTTCACCATAGGAATTGGGGGAGTCCGATTCAACCTGTAACAGAATAAAAGTGTAAACAGTGACGCTCCTGGCACTTGCTTATTATTGCTGTTAAGGCTCAGTGAAGCCCCCGACTCTTGCCCTGCAGTCTCTGCCCAGTACTGTTCCCTGGGGACCCCCTGCCCACCCTGCCCCGGTTTCAGCTGGATGAAGGAGGAGGTGGATCAGCACCGGGGCACCGCGAGCTGCCATCCACCCCCTGCCCACTTAACAACTGCCGAGCACCAGCCGAGTGCCAGGCCCTGGCACTACACAAATCAGGTCCCCAGCAACGCAGAGCACACCATTGGGCCTCTCTGGACAAACCTTCTCACCCCCAGCCCCTCAAGTGACCCAACAGCACTGTTGCTTCGAGCGTTGGGAGGAGCCAATGCCAGCAACTTCCCAGAGAGGCAGGAAGACAAATACCCGCAGAGGAGTCCTAACAGCCCCTCCCCGGGGCCTGCCCTTCTTCAAGCCTGGCGCAGAGGACTCCTCCAGAAGGCGTCCAGGTTGGATTTTGCTCTGTGTGCCCAGAGCCAGCCTGTTGGGCACCAAATGTTTGTGGACCACTGGGCAGTGGGGACCTCACTGCCAAGGCCCAAAGGGAGGGCCCAGGGCTGCTGGAAATCCCAGTCGGGTTGTCAGGACTTTGATCGCCCTGGGGCTCTGAACCCACTTAAAACTACAAAAGGAAAATTGCACCTTGTTCTTGTCGTACAAACAGCCGTCTTCCGGCTGGAACCAGGGCCTGCACATGGGGTTACTCATTAATACGTTTTCAGGGCTCTGAGCAGCAGCTTTTACTGCTTGGCAAACAGCTTCCCACTCAACTGGAGACCACTCAGCAGGAAAGGGCGCCCCTCCCTGGAGACCGCGCTAAGCCTCCCGGTCTGGCAGACCCAAGGGCCCTGTGTCCTGGAGGTGACGGCTAGCTCTTAACTGACTGCTCCCTGGCAAATGATTATTGCTTTATACAAGACCTTTAGCTGGGAGAGAAGAGGAAGGAATTTCTTTTTGCAGTTCACAGATATGAAAAGTGGAGAAGGAACCTTCTTTGAATCACATATATGCCAGGCAGTTTCCACACGATGTCCCCAGGGCCTAGAACAGTGCTTGGCCACTTTAGGTACTCGGTTAATAGTTTCTAGATGAACGAACTCAGTTAGGCAAGTATTATCCTATCTCACACCCAGGGAAAGGAAGACTCGAAGGGGTCAAACCCCTTGCTTAGGATTGCACAGCCAGGGTGTGAGTCACCTACTGCTGCATGATGAACCTGCCAGCTTAACAGCAATCATTTGCTTTGCTCGTGAACTTGCCGTTTGAGCAGGTCTTGGTGGAGACAGCTCCATTGTGGCATCAGTGGGGCTGGAGGACCCACTGACACTGGCACACTCATGCAGCTGGCAAGTCGGCACAGGCTGTGGTTTGGGAGTGTGGCCACCATTCTGTGGACCTCCACGGGCTGCATGGGCTTCCTCACAGCATGGCGGCTAGGTCCTGAGCTCAAGCACCCCAGAGAACCAGGTGGCAGCTGTATCACCTAGGTCCTGAGCACAAGCACCCCAGAGAAACAGGTGGCAGCTGTATCACCTTTTGTAATCTAGCCTCAGAGGTCACGTATGATTGCCTCCACTGTGGTCACAAGTGTCCACTCAGATTCAAGGGCAGGAACACAGACGCCTCCCCTCAATGGGAGAACAATGTTGCATCATACAAACAGCATGTGGTCAGAGGTTCTGCTGTGGCCATCCTTGAAAGCTGCCACCTGCCACAGCTGACAGGTACAGGGCTGAGTTTGGAACCAGGTCTCTCTGACTCCAACTCCTCTGGGGGAACCCACCCCCCACCTCTGGTGTTAGGGCCAGGTGTGACCTGAGCCAGCTGCTCTGCATGGCTTCTGGCAGGGGCCTCTGACTAATCAGGTCTGATCAGAACAACCCCCTAGGCTTCTGCTTGAGCAACCAGGACGAGATGTGGGCACACGTCTGCAGGGCGCTGGCAGTGGTGGCAGTGAGTTGAAGTGTGACCCGAAAGACATGTCACCCGGGCTCTGCGGCTGGGACCTGACTTGGCAAGAGGGTCTTGGCAGGTGTAACTAAGGTGAGGCTCTCAAGATGAGATCGTCTTGGGATCAGGGTGTGCCCAAACCCAAGGACCAGTGTCCTCACACAGAAAAGAAGGCTCAGAGCAGCACGGAGAGGACGTCCACGTGAGACCAACACAGAGACGAGCCAGGCGGCTATGGGCCACGATGGCCCTGGAGCTGGAGAGGGACCTGGCGCAGATTCTCCTTCAGAAGGAGCCAGCTGGGGCTGTGGCCTCAGCTCCTGTGCTCCAGGCTGTGAGAGGGCGCATTGGTTGCTACCTTGCTATTGTTTTTCTTCTTTTTTTTTTCTTGAGACAGTCTCACTTTGTTGCCCAGGCTAGAGTGAGTGCCGTGGCGTCAGCCTTGCTCACAGCAACCTCAAACTCCTGGGCTCAAGCGATCCTCCTGCCTCAGCCTCCCGAGTAGCTGGGACTACAGGCATGCGCCACCATGCCTGGCTAATTTTTTGTATATATATATGTTTTAATTGGTCAATTAGTTTCTTTCTATTTTTAGTAGAGATGGGGTCTCACTCAGGCTGATTTTGAACTCCTAACCTTGAGGGATCCACCCGCCTTGGCCTCCCAGAGTGCTAGGATTACAGGAGTGAGCCACCGCGCCCAGCCTACCTTGCTATTGTTTTAAGGCCAGTTTGTACTTTGCTGCAGTAGCTACGGGGACCTCACAGCTGTGAGCAGCAGGGGTCGTGCCTGCTCCTGGGGTGCACAGGTGCCCAGTGGGCCGGCTGAGGTGGACAGCACTGAGACCGGGACTGCGTGCCCCGCATGGCTTGTTCCTGTGCTCAGGCCTCACCTACCTGAAGGAGGACCCCTATCCCCAGGCCCCCAAGCACCCTGCGTCCTGCCTTCCCTGCCTAAGCCCCAGGCATGGCTCCAGTGGTGCTCTGTGCCCACACAGCTCCCCTTCCTCATGTCGACCTCCCTTGCACATGCTGTTCCCTCTGTCGAGATGCCCTTCCCCTGTGAGCCTGGCAGAGCCCAACTCCTCTTTCCAGCCCCACTCTGACTCCCCATCCTCTACCATGTAGACCCTGCCTTCTTGCCTCTGACGTGTCCCCGTATAGCCCTAGCTTCTAGCAGTGCCTGGAACACAACAGGCACTCAATAAGTGCTCCCTGAATGAATTAAGTGAACTTTACTGGGCAGGCAGAACCCCCAGGGCCTGGACACCTGGTAGCCACCTTGGTACCAGCAGGCACTCAGCACAAATGGCCCAGAGATCCCTCAGGTTAGAAAGCCGCCCAGCCCTGGCCCCATGGCTGTACAACAGGATGGGGTAGTGAGCTCCCCATCACAGGAGGTGTGCAATTGCAGCTGGGGCTTCCTTCCATGACTGACTGAGGGGGACAAGCCTGGGAGGGGAGAAGGACTCACTGCCTCTGCTCTGCAGTCTATGTGGGGCACAGATGGCCCCCCGGGGACAACCCCGAGGGGAGGGAGAGGGGCCTGGCCTGCTGTGACAGGGTCGGGCTGCTCATGTCGGGGCAGGCAGCACAAAGCAGGCCCAGCCACTTCTGTTGCCAACAGCCTGCCGCCCCTCGAAGAGGTCGCCTCCTCCCCAGCCCCACCCAGGGTTTAGGAGACAGGAGTGGGGCATAGATACATGAGGGGTCTGAACCCAGCCCAATCCCCAGGTGGCAGCCCTTGAAAAGCCGCTGAAGGCTCCGGGGTCTCTACTCCTGTCTGTGGCCCCTCTGGGCACTAGGTGCAGGGTTGTATGTACTCGGGAAACGTTTGGGAGGGTCCCCCGGGGTTGGATCAGAGCCTGCGGAGGGTGGGGGCTCCACCCTCAGACCCAGGCCCGAGCCCCAAAACTGCGGGCCCAGTTCTGATGGGGAGACCAAGGCAGAGGGGCTGGGACTGGCAGGTCCAACGGAGTCGGGGACAGAACAGTGTCCTTCTCCCTGGACACCCCTCACCCAGCAAACCACGGCGGTGCAGGAACCCCAGCACGGGTGGCCCTGTGGCCCCCATCCCTGCCCCACATTCCACATGGGCCTGGGGCTACGCCTGCAAACTGCTCGTTCCACATTCTCGGGGTGGTGGCGGGTGGGGCGTGGTGGTGGGTGGGGCGTGGTGCGCCCTCCTTGGAGGGAGGCCCCATGCAGCTGAGGGCAGCGGGGCCCAGGAGGGAGCTGGGGCCTCACCACTGCAGTACTCATGGCCCACCTGCTCCTGCTGCTCTTGGGGCTCCTGGGGCTCTGGGGGCTGCTCTGCGCTTGTGCCCGGAACCCCTCCCCAGCCCCCCGATGGCCCCCTGGGCCTCGCCCACTGCCCCTCGTGGGGAACCTGCACTTGCTGCGTGTGTCCCAGCAGGACCGGTCACTGATGGAGGTAGGTGGGAGCAGCCTTGATGAGTGGCAGTCTAGAGGGCTCCCTGGAGGAGGCAGCATTTGCCTACTAAAAGCTTGCAGAGAGGGGAGAGCAGGTGCTCTGTTGTCTGGACACAGAACCTGGATGGCAGCAGAGGTGCCCTGGGGCAGGGGGAGGCCTGTTGGGGGCCCCTCCCTTCTGGGGCTGGAGTTGAGGGCAGGCCACCCTGCCCGACAGCCAGGAGCTGGCCAGGGGTGAAGCAGGGCACAGCCTGTCCCGTCCCGGTGGCCCAGCCCTGCCCCCCACCCACAGGCACAGTGTGCCATCCCCCACAGCAGCCCCATTTGGTCTCTGGGGACCTTGCCGGGGACCTTGCCAGAGACCTGCCAGGCCTCTAGCTGTAGCTCCTGTTTCCAGAATCACCTGTGTGCACCTGCCTGGTGACTTCCCCCAGGCAGGGAGGAGGGGGCCCCTGGGTCCCTTGCAGGAACTGCCGATGGCCCATGAAGCAGCCAGAGCAGAGGCAGCCCCCACTTCCCTGGGACAGGCCCTCTGGGCCCCACCTGGCTGTGGGCGCCAGGCTCCAGGGCCCCTGAGGCCACCACCCAGTGTGTGGGGGCCCAGGGGGCAGCAGACAGGCCCAGGTCCAAGTCCAGCTACGTCCAGCGTGCATGTGCCCAGCAGTGCTCACTTCCCGCTCCTGAGTCCTGGTCCTTCCTCTGTAAGATGGGGAGAGGGCAGCCCCGACCCAGTGGCCCTGACATCACTGTTCCGAGTCCTCACTCAGGCCCAGAAGGTCAAAGCCCCAGACCCACCTGTGGGCCTGGCCCTGCGCTGTTCTCTGCTGTGGGCTGGGGGTGCCATGGGCCCAGCTGGGCTGGGAGGGTCTCGGAGGCTGGGACCATCAGGCCTGCTCTCTGCACAGACCCTGGCTTTCAAGAACATGCCACCCCAACAGATGGCCCCACCGTGCTGTCTGGTCTTGGGGCTCAAAAGAGTCCTCCAAGAGTTTCTGCTGAAAAGAAAAACCCACACCAGCCACGCCCAGCAGCAAGCGGTGGCACCCCCTCCCTGGAGGAGCTGGGGGGCTCCAGGCTGGACACTGCCCCCCCCACCCCCCCACCCTCCGTACAGGGTGGGCTGCCACGTAATCCTAACCCCTGCCGGTCCTCCAGCTCTCCGAACGGTATGGGCCAGTCTTCACCATCCACCTGGGGCGCCAGAGGACTGTGGTGCTGACCGGGCTTGCGGCGGTGAGGGAGGCGCTGGTAGGCACGGGGCAGGCGCTGGCCGACCGGCCCCCCATCGCCATCTTCCAGCTCATCCAGCAGGGTGGGGGTAGGTGTGCGGGGCTCCTGCGGGGGGGAGGCGCAGCCCCAGCTCAGGTGTCCACAAAGGCTGGGTGCCCCAGGACCAGTGGGCTAGGGTCTTCCCATCTCAAGTCAAGAGGGGCCGGGGCCAGCCCAGGCCAACCCATAGAGTGGGAGTGGGGATGGCGTGAAGCCCCAGCCAGGCCCCCCTGCCCGGGTCAGCCCCTCCCTGCAGGCACCACCTGGGGGGCTCCACCAGGAGGGGAGCAGGGCTCACCGGGCGCCCCGTCTGGCCCCCAGGCATCTTCTTCTCATCTGGGGCACGCTGGAGGGCCGCCCGCCAGTTCACGGTGCGCACCCTGCACAGCCTGGGCGTGGGCCGGTGGCCGCTGACTGACAAGGTTCTGCAGGAGCTGAAGTGCCTGGTGGGGCAGCTGGACAGCTTTGGAGGTGGGTGGGGGTGGCAGACGCCCCTTCTTGAGCCCACAACCAGGCCTGTGCCCCAGGCCAGCCCTTCCCTCTGGCCCTGCTAGGGCTCCCGTGGCCCCCACCCACCCAGGTCTGTCCTGCAGGCTGGCCCTTCCCTCTGGCCCTGCTGGGGCTCCCGTGGCCCCCACCCACCCAGGTCTGTCCTGCAGGCCGCCCGTTCCCTCTGGCCCTGCTCGGCTGGGCCCCCTCCAACGTCACCTTCGCTCTCCTGTTCGGCCAGCGCTTTGACTACCAGGATCCCGTGTTCGTGTCCTTGCTGGGTCTCATTGATGAGGTCATGGTCCTCTTGGGGTCCCCTGGCCTGCAGGTGAGAGGTCACTGCCCCAGCCTCGGGTGGGGTGGAACTGGGAGCTGAGCGCCCCGAGATGGGCGGGAGGCAGGACTGGGGCACCCAGCAGGTCCCTGTCCCATAGACAGCATCCTGCACTCAGGGCTGCCGTCCCTCCGCCAGACATCGCTTGGCCTCCGAGCACCGCTGTGCTCTCCGGGAAGTGGGGGCTCCGCAGCAGGGATCCCCACCTCCGCCACCCCCATCGGCAGCAGGCACACCTTGGAAGGTGGAGTGCGGGGAATAGGCATTTCTTCCCAGGGCCGTGGACTCCACGCAATGCGGCCCCCGCTCTGACAGCTGGGGCACCTTCCAGTTGTCATCGTCCTTCACAATGCCCCAAACCCACAAAAGTTGGTCCTTCTGATGTTGAGAACTCCTGGAGTCCAGAGTGTACATTTTCTTCTTCAAAACTTAAAGTTTTGGTATTTTTAGCCATCACCACATTTAGCTATGCACTCGCTGAAGCATACGCGTCCAGGTGTGACGTCTGTATCTCCATGGGCTCAGAGTTCATGGTCCCTCGCCGCCTCACCTCGGTGTGATGGGGATGGCAGCCAGGCTTAGGACACAGCGGTGCGCGGCTCCTCAGGGCAGCCCTGCCTCCTGGTGGGAGCCAGGCTGTCCAAGGATGGAGGCCGCAGGGCTCGATGCGGCTCCACCAGGGCAGCCAGGGCAACGGAACGTTCCTCACACAGAGGTGACATGCGGGATTTGCCATTGGCCACTGCCAGTCTCCTAGGGAGGGGAGTCGTGCTGGGCATAGCCAGTGCAGTGGCCTTCATTGAGCACCTGCTGGTGCCAGCCCCATGCTAAAGTCTGCACACACTCTTCTTCCACAACTCACAGCAGGTCCAAGTCATTTCCACAGCGGTGGCCGCCTCCCCTCCTCCATCTCGCCCATTCTGAACACGGAGGGACTCAGTGACAGGCAGCCCGCTGTGACTTGCACAGGCCCACCCGGGTTGTCTCGCCAGGTGTCTCCCCACACACGCAACCGAGGGTGTCCTCTGAGCCCCTGGTCCTGCCACGAGGCAGTGCCCACCGCCAGCACAGCCTGGGCAGCACGAGCCCCTGGACGTGGACACACCTGCCCCTCACTCCACCCACCGTCTCTCCTTGTGCCTCCAGCTGTTCAACATGTACCCCTGGCTCGGGGCCCTGCTGCAGCTGCACCGGCCCGTCCTGCGCAAGATCGAGGAGATCCGCGCCATCCTGAGGACCCTGCTGGCGGCGCCGCGGCCCCTCAAGCCTGGGGGAAACCCCGTGCAGAGCTACGTGGACGCCCTGACCCAGCAGGGCCAGGTGTGGGCGAGGCCAGAGTTCCCCTCAGAGGCCTGTGTGGAGTCCAGAGGGCCCAGCCCGGGGGAGCAGGCCTGGGGAGGGTCTGTGTCTGTCCTGCACAAAGGGCTGGGGGCCTCTCAGAGCCTCAGCCTCCTCATCCGTGAAGTGGGCATTCAAGGGTGGGGGCTGAGGTAGAATTTGGGGCTCTCAGGGCTCTCCCTCCTCCCTGCCAAGCCTGTCTTCTCCTGTCCAGGGCTGGACTGGGTTCAGGGCTGGGATCGAATCCAGAACCCCGGCCAAGCTCTGTCCCCACCTCTGCAGGGGGACGACCCTCAGGGCCTGTTTGCCGAGGCCAATGCGGTGGCCTGTACCCTGGACATGGTCATGGCCGGGACAGAGACCACATCTGCCACGCTGCAGTGGGCCACTCTCCTAATGGCCAGGCACCCGGATGTGCAAGGTAAGGCCCCTTGTGGTGGGGCCCCTGGGCCGAGGGTGCAGGCTCCCGCTGACGGGTGCCCACCCCTGCCCAGGCCGGGTGCAGGAGGAGCTGGACCGAGTGCTGGGCCCCGGGCGGCCTCCCAGGCCAGAGGACCAGGATGCGCTGCCCTACACTCGCGCCGTACTCCACGAGGTGCAGCGATACATCACGCTCCTGCCAGACGTGCCCCGGTGTGCAGCGGCCGACATCCAGCTGGGCGGCTACCTGCTCCCCAAGGTGGGAGGCTGGGCTCCAGCCTTCATCCCCGCTGTAGGGTGGGCCCGAGAAGGCTGAGCCTTGGGACTGGTGCCTGGAGGTGCAGGGCTGCCCTGTCGGGAGCAGGAGAGGTGTTCAGCCAGGTGTGCCCTGCCTCACAGCCCTCATGCTAGCCCCACATCAGCTGTAGACCTGGGCGCTTCATTGTGTCCTGGGGGTCTTCTCTGTGTGTCCTTGGGGGGTCCTCATTGTGTTCTGGGGAAGTCCTCCCTGTGCATCCTGGGGGGGTCCTCCCTGTGAGACCTGGGGGGGGTCCTTGCTGTGTGTCCTGGGAGGGTCCTCACTGTGTGTCCCAGGGGTCTTCTGTGTGTCCTGGGGGTCTCTTTCCGTGTGTCCCAGGGTCACCTGGCCTCCCTGGCCCCAGGCTTGTCACCTGTGCGGTAGGCTAACACCAGGTGGGGCGGCTGTGTCAGGAGCTGCCCAGCCCAGGGCCCTCTCTGCACTCCTCCTGCACAGGGCACGCCTGTGATCCCCTTGCTGACCTCAGTGCTCCTGGACAAGACGCAGTGGCAGACCCCAGACCAGTTCAACCCGGGTCACTTCCTGGACGCGGACGGGCAGTTTGTGAAGCGTGAGGCCTTCCTGCCTTTCTCTGCAGGTACAGTGGCCCTTGTGGGTGTCCTGGGATTGGGGCCTCCAGGACTCCAGCCCCAGGCACTGGGGAGTGCAGGGGCTGCTCTCCCCTCCCCTGGGGGTGTCCCCGCCTGCTCAGGAACAGGCCTAGCGCACCCCACTCCGTGCCTTGGTTTTCCTTGCAGGCCGCCGCGTCTGTGTCGGCGAGCGCCTGGCCAGGACCGAGCTGTTCCTGCTGTTTGCCGGCCTCCTCCAGAGGTACCGACTGCTGCCCCCGCCCGGGGTGAGCCCCGCAGCCCTGGACACCACTCCCGCCCTGGCCTTCACTATGCGGCCACGGGCCCAGGCCCTGTGTGCGGTGCCCAGGCCCTAGGGTCACTTCCATGAGCAAACGCCAGGGGCCAGGTCCCCAGCACCAGGCCCCCCCAGCTCAGGAGTGCTCCTTGGGTCCCTGCGGACCGGTGGGCAGGCAGACAGCCCCTCATCGGCCCCTCGCGGGGCTCCCACCTCACCTGCAGCAACCACAGGGCTGCATCTTCCAGGCAGGCAGCTCTGGCCGCGGATGGTGTCCACTGTGTCCTGAGCAGCCTTCCAGTGGGGGCCGCAGCCCTCATCCAGGCACCATGGGGGCAGGGTGCCCCTTCCTCCCTGACAGCCCCATCCTGGCCCTGGTCCTCCTGAGACCTCTCTCAGGTGCCACACCCCAGGCACTGTAGACCCCTCCCCCTCCGGATTGTAACCCCAGGGGCAGCCAAGCCTCACACAGAGGTGGGCTCCCTTCCCCTCATTGTCCTCCCAACCCCCCAGACCCCAGGGGATCAGCAGCTGCCTCTGGCTACACCAGGTCTCCTTCTGCCAGGCCCTGTGGGATCCCCCCGGTGCCTGGTCTGCAGCGTGCCCCCCACAACCCCAGCTACGCCTCCCCACCTCATAGAGTTCCCCACCAGCAGCTGGGCCAGGGGACATCCAGCCACAGCCCAGCTTCAGACAGGTGTCCCCAGCATGTGGGTCTGTACTGGCCAGACCCTGGGGGTCTGGCTGGGGCTCCTGCAGGCCCCACCCCATTCTACAAGCTCCTGTGGGCTGTGTCTGGGAGGTGGTACATCTGCAGTGCTGGGACCTCCAGTTAAGTCACTGGGTGCCACCTTGGTCCTCTTTGGGCATGCTGGGGACAAGGAGACAAGGCCAGGTCTGTGTTCCTCCATGTGGCCATGTGTACCTCCAAGGGTGGCACTGAAGCCTGAGGCTCTCTGGTCTGCCTGTCTGCCAGGGCCTGGAGCTGCCCTATCACCTGAGCCTCACTCTACCCATCTGCAAAGTGGGTGATGGCAGCCTGGAGACCAACACGCTTTGTCGGGAGGGTGCAGGGTGCTAAGGCACCCCAGGCTGAGAACATCCGTCCAAGGGGCACAGGAAGTGGCTGCTGTGGAGGGAGAGGACAAGCATAGGCCTCAAACCCAGAGTCACCCTGTGCTGGCCTTCTTAGGGCTGGGGCTGTGGGGGGTCGTGGAGGAACAGGGGTGCCCCAGGCAAACCTCCAGCACCTGGGCTGGGGGGCCTGCCCAGCACCCCCCCCCAGGGGAGACTAGAGACCCCTCAGTGGGAGCCAGGCCAGGCAGGGATGCCCACCAGGAGGACCAGCTGCTTCTGGGGTCCCCTGGGGTGATGGCGAAGCTTCCGTCCTCCCCCACACCCAAGACACACACTTCTCGAACTCGGGCCTCTAAGGGACACACGTACCCAACACACCATCTGTCTGAAATTCAGACTTCACTGGGTCCTGTCTGGTGTCTGGCAACCCGTTATGAAACTGGCCTTTGTTCAGGCCGCTGGCCAGGGAGCCTGGCAGGGTGGAGGTAGCGACCCCTGCAGGCTGTGACCAGGGTGAGTCACTGTGCGGTGGGCATGGTGGCTACGGCTGGGATGGCCTTAGGCGTCCGGTGATGTGGGTGAATACAGGGGAACCTGAGGGTGGGGTCCCAGGAGAGCCCAGGGCCTCTCTGAGGAAGGAATACTGGTCCTTCTCACCCCTGCCTTATGGAGCTCCCCCGAGACGGACACGCAGGATGCTGGAGCAGAGCCATGGGCCTGGCGCCTGCCCGACATGGACCTGTCAGGCAGCTCAGAGGACGAATCTGCCGACCCATCACCTGACCCCCCTCCCCAACAGGCCCGACTCAAGAGACCTCTCACCCAGTTTCACCCGTGAAGAAACAGGCTAATGAGACCAAGGACTCCTTCTGCGGGGGTGCAGCAGGGTCCCCCAAATAGGCAGTCTTAACAACTGGCTCAGGTGTGAAAAAGCATAACTTGGCAAAAACAGCGTGAGCAGGAGTCAAAGCTTTATTGAACTCACTCCAGAGGCATGAGCAGGACGCCAATGACAACTCACCAGGGATGTGGAGAACTGGGGGGGAGGGAGGCTGGGTGAGGCCCAAACCTGGGGGCCCACAGGCTGCCTCCTCCACTGCAGGACTGGGCGCGGTCACCATTCCCACGTGGGCTGGCTGAGGCCCGGGGGCCTCCTGGCAGAGGCTGTCCCGGTCTCACTGCTGAGTGTTGTTTTTTCCAATTGTGATAAAATACGCACTAGGTTTACAGCACGGTGCTCACCACACTTAGGTGCACAGCTGGGCGGCGTTAGGCACATCGCAGTGTTGTGCAGCCGTCACCACCTGCGAACCTTCTCTTCCCACACTGAAGCTCTGCCCCATGAAACACGGACCCCCAGCACCCACTGTGCTACTTTCTGTCTCTGTTTGACTCCCCTGGGGACCTCCTTTAAGTGACATCACACAGGATGTGTCCTTTTGTGATCAGCAGTGTCCTCAAGGTCCACTCACACTGGAGGGTGTCAGGGTTTCCTTCCTTTCTGAGGCTGAATGACATCCCACTGTGTGGGTGGGCTGCATTGAGCTTGTCCATTCACCTGTGAAGTCCTGTGTCCCAGGGAGCCGGCGCTCAGTGAGCACACTGAGCTTCCACACCGCATGACTGAGAGGAGAAGCCGCCGTGGGTGTAGTGGGAGGGGCAGACGGACGGAGGCCACAGCTCCGATGACGTGGGCAAACCTCCTTGGAGGCATCCTCATGGCTGGCAGGGGAGAGCCCGTCCTGGACCTGTCTCTGGGTCACGAGAGAAGGAAACTTCTGGGCAGGGCGGGCGGCTCTTGGCACCAGATCTGCTTCTGATTCCAGGGCTGGCCCCCAGCCACGCACACGAGCTTCACATTATCCCCCAAGTCAACGAAACACACCCAGTCCCTGAGCCATAGCAAACTGCAGAACAAGCTCTCGGGGCTGGCGGGGCTTCCAGGAGAGAAAGCCTTCTGCAAATCGGGAGGTCGTTAACCCCTCATGCCACGTGCACCCGTGCCCCCTGGGCACATACGCATGCCACAGGGCAGGGGTCTCGGCTCAGGGACTGGCTCATGTCCTGAAGCTCCTTCCACCGTGCAGGAGAGTCAGGAGTCTGGAAGCCCCTCCTCCGCTTTGGTACCCTCAGCCCTCCCAGGTGACCGCCGAACTCCCTCAGCAAGGGGCATCTTCTTCCTACGCTGGATGGTGAGGGGAAGGGGGCAGGTGGTGGGAGGGGCTGGCTGGGCCTCTGCTCAGTGGGCAGAGAGGCTCGCGCAGCTCAGCCAGGTGTCCCAGGGCCTCTCTGGGTGGCCCTTACACGCGATGCCCAGAGGCTGACCCCATCACGGACGACTCTTTGCCCCACCCTCCTGGGACCCAGGCCCTTGTGAAATCAAAGGCAAGGCCTGGGTGTCTGCAGTTTGGAGTGTATCTGTCCGCCTTGCTGTGTAACAAGCAGCCCCAGATTCCGTGGCCTGACAGGCTCTCGGTGAGCTCAGGCTCAGGCTCAGCCTCTCTCTACACTGATTCTGACGCATGTTCTGATGTGCTTCCAGCCATCATGGGTCTCCTGCCACCTTTGGACCTGCATGGTACATCCCCACCTGTCTGGCATCTGGCTCAGCCCCATCACTTGAGACCTTTCCCTCGGCCACGTGCGTTAGCAGCTCTTCCCCTTGGATGCCGAGTAAACTTCACTTTGTTTATTCATCCACCTGCTGATGGACATTGGGTTGTTTCCAGTCTGGGGGGCTTTGGAAGGGGATGACAGCAGCCACTATCAGGAAGTTTTCAGGCCCGAGTCAGACACCCACACTTGGAAGAACCAGAGACTCACAGCTCTTTCCAGGCACATGCGGCCCCAGGTGCTCAGAGGGTCCCACATGGGCTGCCCCTGGGGTCTCACCAGGGAGTGCCATTTTTGGGGAATGGCTTGGTCCTCTGCACTTGGTTCAAGTTAGGTCTCAACAGCCAGCCTGCCCTAGGTGACATCTCCATGTCACCACCCTCTGAACCTCCACCAGGGAGCCGCTATTGAGACTGGCACCTCATGACCACCTGAGGGGGGAACATTTGTGAAGTGATGGAGGCTCAGGTCTCCAAGACATTTTCCCATTAACCCAAGATGAGGATTTGGTACCCATTACATTTTCCTTTTTGACTTGGCTGCCAGGAAACCCAGAGCCATGGTTCTTGATCCATCAACTCTGATTCTTTGAAAACTATCTGCCCCTTCTTTGTAGTTTGCAGATCTTCTGTCACTACCTATTTCTTTTTTTTTCCACCTGTAGTTCCATGCAAATTTCTTGGTGTATTTATTTAAGATGCCTCAAGGTTCAGGAATAATTGGATGCCCTGACTCTTGACTGCTGAGGCCCTCTTTGGTGGCTCTGCCTCATGTGACCCTTCTGCAGTGACCTCCCTGTGGGGCTGTGATGCTGGGACCCTGGACTGCAGGTGTCACCTCACTCACCTGCAGGTTTGTGCTGTGCCAAGTGTCTTCCTGCCTATGGTCTCACCTGGACTCCTCACATGCCATCTCCAGCGGCCACCCCAGCCAGTCATGACACAAAGAGTAGGACTGGTGTGTGTGTGTGTGTGGGGGGTCAGCCAAGTGGGGTGCAGATGAGACTTGGGGGACATGACCCTTAAGGTCCCTTCCAGCCCCAAGAGTCTGAGAGTCTGTGGTTACAGGTGACCAGATGGAAAGGAACCCACCTTCTGGGCTCTGGTCACATCCTGCCCTCGACATGGGCAGACGTGACAACAGAGACCTGAGGGTCACAACCCCAGCTGGGGACACCACTCAGGCTATAATTCCCAGAGGACCATGGCCGGGGAAGCCTAGCCAGGCTGGTGACGGCTCCAAGAAGCCCAAGCTCCTTCACCAGAACAAGGGTCCTGAGCTCATGCCTCACTGGGTTGTGACTGGCACCATGTGGCAGCCCCAGTGTGCGCCGCCCCGTCCACTCTCCAGCACTTGTGCCCCATCGTGACCGGTACCATGCGGCAGTTCATCAAGGGTGCACTTCCCAGTCCACTCCCCCAGGGTTCGTGCCCAGAAACTCTGTTCCCATGGAGTAAGGCTTAGTGGGGACAGCTCAGCTCGGCGATGGCCAAAGTGGTTGAAGGCAGGGACCCCACAGGTGGCATTCCCACGTGCTGGAGCTTGCTCACAACACTGTAGCAGGTCCCGGGTGTATCCCGCTCCGCCCCCGTCTCAGGGGCCACTTGCACCTCATGAGGCTGGAGGCTGACCCAGGTTCAAGGGGAGGGAAGGAGACTGCCTCGTGTGGGAGGGGCAGCAAAGACTGAGCAGAGCTTTTGAAAACTGCCACACATATTCGCGACCAGGCCACGCAAACAGCCCTCCCAGGTGGCAGCAACAGCCTGAACGTCCAGCTTCATGAAGGAGGCTCAGAGCTGCCAGCCTGGACCCAGCATCAGCCCTCCCTGGGGCTGTCCCAGAGCACACAGTCCATGCCTCCCCCTCGGCCATGGCCAGCACCCCCAACTGTAGCCTAGAGCTCCGTGGTCACCATGGCCCTCCCTGATAGCCACCCCAACCGTGACAGCACATCTTGGATCACTCAGTTTTGTTGGGAACAGGAAGAGCATGTCCTGTTTTTGTGCAGTTAGCGTGTTTTGTAGCCGGTACAGTCACTGCCAACACCTGGAAATGGAAGCCTGGAGGGCGAGTGACCAGACCCAGAGGCCACCCTGAGTGCACCGAGGAAAAGCACCTCACAGTCCACAGAACAAGAGCAACGGTCCAAGGTAGGCTTGTTTTTTATTGAAAACACAGCCAGCAGAGTCCACAGGTACATGGTCTGACCCCATGGCCCAGACAGGGCTCTCCTGTGACCAGGCAGTGAGGCCAGGCACTGTCCAGGGAGAGGTGGACATACCACAGCCTGACTTGCCATGATGCAGGCAGGGGACTAGGAACAAACAGCCCACACTGGGCCGCCCAGTAGAACGTGAGGACCACAGCTAGCTCTGCCCAGCTTCTAAAACATCCATCCCTGGTAGAAAAATAGACATTTCCCTCAAAAGCAAAAGACCAGCTCCCCATGGCTTGAGGGCCATGTTCACAGACCAGCGTGTCTGGGTCAGTTCAGAGCAACCACCTTCTCTATAGGTAGCGAAACCTGTTATCATCTACAAACCGTTCTGACCAAGCAGGGTAGGTGGGGAGGGTCTGTGGAGCTGGAAGGCCCCCACTGCCAGGAAGAGGTGGTTGGCTGCATCCTGCGTTGTCCAAGGACTTCCCTGAGCTGGGGTGAGACCCCCGTCACACCACCTGCCCCACTAGGAGAGCAGCTGCAGCACCTGCCGTACGCGCTCGGCCTTCCCCAGCAGAAGGGGGTCTGGGCCTCCGGCGCCCGCCTCCTCGTCCAGCTCAAGCATCAGGGCTTCAGCCTTCTGCACCGTCAGCTCTCGTGCCCTGCCCTGCAGTCCCTCCAGGTAGGCCAGCAGGCTGGGGAAGTGCTCGTTGGGCACCTGGCGGGGAGGAGACAAGAGTTGGCCAGGGGCCCAGGCAGCACAGGCCTCAGGCCACGAGGCAGGGCAGCTGGTGCCTCCGGCTTCGCCCCTGGACCCACAAGGGGAACTGGCCAGCACAAAGCACCCTTGCACTGGGGCCAAGGATCACCCTCTGCCTGTCTTCCAGCCTGTGCCCACAACATACTGTCTTGATCACTGTGGCCTTGCAGCTGAGAAGTGTATGTGTACTGACTTTATTCTTCTACTTCATGACAGCTTAGCTATTTTGTGTACCTTGGCCTTGAAACCAACTCAGGGAGAGCAAACCCAAAAGAGAGTGGGTCTGAGGCTGGAGTGTCCTGCTGCAACGTGCCTGGGACGTGGGCACCCCCCCAGTGTGTCTGGAGACACAGGCACAGCAGGAGAGACTACGCCCACCCACCCTGCACTCACCAACACGCACACACACAGCACCTATAAGACTCAGACTCAGGAGAGCTGTTGTGGCTCTCCTCAGGAAGAGCCGTGGCTACCCTGTGAGAATCATGGAACCGTGAGCCGTACAGCCTTGGAACAGACATGGGAGATTCCAGCCCCTCCCAGATGTCAGGTTTTGTTGCTAAATTCTATCTTCTCTCATCCTGTGAGACCAAATCTTATATACTGCCCTGAAACGTGCTTCTGGACACAGGTGGCACATGCCCACACGCGGGCAAACATGGGGGCAGGTGCCTGCATGAGCTGGGCCTGCCTTTGCCATAGAGCCTCTGCTGGAGGCAGACACTGCTCCACTTCCCCCACGGGGCCCTCCGGACAGTCCTTCCCGGCGCAGCCTCTGCTGTCAGGCCCAACATGCACAGACCTTGTCACTGTCGTACATGTGCAGCAGGAGCCACGTTTGCCGTGTCTTCTGGAACCTCCAGTCCTTGTGCTTCTGGGCCCACCTGGGAAACCGAGACAAGCAGCTCAGGATGCGGATGAAGGAACCTCGCACCCGGCAGCGCTGGCTGAGCTGGGCAGCCTCTTCCTGAGGGAAGGAGCCCCCCAGGAGCTGAACACCAAGGCCATGGGTGTTGTGGGGGTTTTGTGTGGAGATTGTCCCCTGCCCGAGGTGAAGAGGAGACCTGCTGAGGGCAGTGACAGAGCAGAGTTGCAGCAGGTTTCTTAGGCAGGGGACATATCACCTCTGCACTTGCTCTGTGGGGTCCCTCGGCCAATCTGAGCATCCACAGCTATGACAGGATCAATGGAGGACTAGATGGCATAGGGCCATATTCTTCCAGCCCCACAACCTCATCACTTTACCCTGATGTGAACATTCTGGGTTTGTCGCATGCTATGGCAGAGCCTGACAGCGGGCGTGCCCAGGGACCAGTGGGCACATGACTGCTCAGCCTCCCCGTGTCCAGGCAGGTTTGTGTGGAAAGCCTGGCCTTGAGTCTGGTGCTGGAGTATGTCCCAGCCCGGGGGCCTGTCCCTACACCTGCGGGTCAACCTCATGTGCAGTAAACTCCGTGCACAGATCATCGTGTGGTCTCTGTGGACTGTACCTGGCAGAGAGGCTGTGGGTCTGCCTGGTGGGCAGAGGTGTCGGAAGGGAGGGATGGTGCCAGGCGAGCAGCTGAAGCAACGTCTTCTGCATGACCCCGGGAGGGGGCTGCTCAGGCCCAACCCCCGTGGTCAGCACAGTTGCCTGGGGCTTGGGCTGGGGCCCCACAGTAACTTGTGACCCCAGGTCTCCCAGTCTTCAGGCCAGCACCAGAGAGAAGGCCCCGGAGATAAACATGGGCAGAGCAGGCTCCAGCCAGGGGGTCCTTGAAGGACTCTCAGCAACGGGCCAAGGCAGCGGCCTCAGGGTGAAGATCAAGGATCTGTGTGCACCACACATGGAGTGGGCCAGGTCCCTCCCCTGCTGCCAAGAGACCACGCCCTGCCCCTCGCCCGGTCATATGGACGGGGTCTATGCTGAGGGCTGGCTGTCAGGAGAAAGGAGGGGCAGTGGCCCTGGCCGTCCTTAATTCTGTCTGTCCCAGGTAGAAGTAGAACAGCCAGGCCCAGAGCAGGACGCAGGTGGGGATAGCAACAGGCCCCATTGGGCTCTGTCCACATCCTGCTAGATGGCCCAGCCCACTGCTGTGGTGGCCACCCGCCAGGCTTCTTAGTCCACCTGCTCATTGGTCCAACCCAGACCCGGCCACACCCAGGCTCCAGGCTTCATACCTGCAGCCCCCAAGGGAGCCTCTGGCTACAGTGACCTCCCAGCTGTGCTTCATGGTGCCTGCAGAGGACCAGAAGTAGCAGAACGGCCCAAGCAAGTGCGTGACGCAGTGGTCTCATGCCACCGACACAACCATTCCCTGGGACAAGCACATCTCTCAGGGTGGCACCAGGAGCCTGTGCCAGCCAGGTGCTCCTGGGGAGGAGGCGGCAGAGGCAGCATAGAGCCCAGGACAGAGCCTGGGGCGTGTGCCCGTGCTGGGACTGTAGGTCCTCTTCAGCCAAGAAACGGGGGCACTCTGGCCCCACATGCTGAGCCACAGGTGATGCATCAGCTCTCTGAGCTTCTCTCCTGCAGGTGGAGAGGACAGGTGCACACACGTACACACACACGTTCATATGTGTGTCTGTGTCCAACCAGCACCAAGGCCTGTGGATTATTCTACTGGAGTAACATACACTTCACATAAAACTCCCCACGCTCCCTGTTCCTAACTCACAGCTCAGGGGCACTAGGCATAGTCACACCATCATGCTGTGTGACAACCCTCATCTTCCCCAACCAAAATCCTGCCCTGCTGGACACAGTCCCCCTGCCCCTTGGCTGCCCCACTGGACACAGCTCCCCACCCTTGGTTCCACCTGCTCTGCGCAGTCCACACAGGTGCACTTGCACATGGGGGCCTTTCACTAACGCCTCATCCTGACCCCAGCGTAGGGAGCACCATGAGTGCAAGGGGATGGCGCAGGCCAGGTGGGGGTCCATGAAGTGGGGAGCAGGTTGGAGAAGCCCCCGGCACAGAGTGCTGGGGCCCAGGGCAGTGACCTGGGGCAGCGCTTGTGGCCCACCCTGGAGCAGAGGGGGCTCGGAGGGGGCTGCAGAGCAGGCTCATGGGCAGGCCATGTGGGAAGCCAGGGTAGATTATAGGATCCACACAGGTGGGGAGGGGTTGGGGGCGCCAAAGAGAACAGGAGAAACCACGAGGGCCACGTGGGTGCCTATGGCCCAGAGATGGAGCGTGGGGGGAAGCCTGGTCTTCTCAGAGGCGGGTGCCAGCTGCCTCGGCCCCATCAGGTTCTGGGTGAGCTGAGCTGGGAGTCGGGGCCTCACCCCAACCGGATTCTCCCCACCCCCACCGTTCATAGTGGGGCTATGTCATAAACAAAGTAGCACCTTTGGAGAAAACAATTTTCTAACCGATCTCCCTGTGGGCCTCTGATGGACCTTCCTCTTCTATGTCATTCTCTGGCCCTGAGTCCAACACTGCCACCCTTGGAAACCCAAGTGTCTTCCAGCACTTTCCTGCCTGTGGGAGCTGGTGCTAAACCTCCTTGGAGGTAGAAGGTGGCGGTCGCAGACCGCGACTGCAGCCAAGTGCTCCACAGGTATGGACGCCTCAGCCCCATCTCTGACAGCTCCAGACAGCTTATTTTGCTTTTGCCCCATGAACACTCCAGAAGCAATAGTATCAACAACAATGCTGCCTGTTTCTTGCGTGCTCCTGTCATGACTTGGCCCAAAGCTTTCTACTGGTGGGAGCTCCCTGACTCTGAAAACCTATGCCAAGCAGGTGTGCTCACCCCAAACCTGGACCCAAGCTGCTTCCCCTGCAGGGGCCTGCTCGATTGCACTCCTCCCTGCCCTCTGTGAGTCTCCTCCAGCTACCTTCAGGGCATCTGAGGGCTCTAGGAAGAGCTGGGAAGGCCCCAACCCTCAGTTAGGGCGTCCACGGGGTGTGTCAGGGTAGGGCAGACCCTTCCTGCTGGACGCTGGTTCCAGGAGTGGCCATGCTTTATTCTGCCTGCCTGCCAGGACGGCCTCCGCCTAGATGCCAATGAGCACAGGGAAGGGTCAAAGGGGCCTGCACCCCCGAGGAGCCCAAGTCCTTAAAGACGGGTCCAGATGGGACTCATAATACGATAGAGTCCAGAGGCCCAGTACAGGCTGTTAGTCCCCAGCTCAGAGAAGGCAACGGAGATGGGAGGTGCAGCCAGAGGGGGGCGGAGGGAGCTCAGGAGCCTCGACCCAGCCAGTAGGCCAACTTCTAGAGGAAACCGTGCACCCAGGCCAGACCATGGGAGACTGTGCCCAATTGGAAGTCCCTATCCTTGCACCAATGGCTCTGCTGGGGCTTCTTGAAAGGACCTGGAGACTGCTTAGAACACAGCAGCAGCAGGGCAGGCCTAGTGCAGATGCCAATGTCCCCTGCTCTAGAACCTTCCTCACAGGCAGTGACGGTGAAGCTGTAGCTTCCCCACCAGTCCCCACTCGTAGCATGTCCTGACTTCTGTGGTGTAAACACTACTGTCATGGCAGAGGTAAGCCTGGGAAGGGAGGCACAGCCCCGTGCCCAGCGGTTCTCACCCACACAGGTAGTCCAGGGCCAGCTCCGCCCCTGAGCGCCTGGTTGGTAGGTTCTTGGTGGTGACTGATGCCTTTCGCAGACACTGCCTCTCCTCCTTCTTCCGCTCCTTCTTTTGCTTCCTCTCCAGGACCCTCTTCTCCTCTGGGGATAGCTCGGGGTCTGAGTCCTGCACCACTGTGCACGCTGCTTCACCCTGCAAGTCAAGGGACACCCTTCCCGTTAGGCTTCTGGGTCAGATGAGGGTTCTCTGAAGGGTGTGCTGCTCAAGGTTTCCCCACACCCCACCGACAGCAGATGAAGGCTCTGCCCCTCTTACCGCCCACCCCTGTGGACCGCACACTGGCCCAGACTGAGCAGCAGTGCAGGGCTGGCTCAGACAAGGACGGCCAGTTCTGCAGGGAAAACTGAGATTTTACTTTGCTCAACCCAGCGTCTGTCAAGGTTAACTGACTGCAGACACCTACCCTCCTCCTCACCGGTGCCCCAGCCCCCAGGCTCTGTGGAGGCCTCACTACCCGCCCACCCCATGCAAGAAGGCCTGGGTGGGCTGTGTGTGAGTACCCGGTGCCGGGACCCGCTGGGGCTGCTCCTTTTCCTTGCTCCTTTTCCTTGCAGGATCCTCTCAGCAAAGACCCTAGAGGGAGGGAAATGACCACTCTGCCTGGGGCTTTTGCCTTGCTTACTCCCTGTTGCAGTATCCTTCCCAGCCACACCCTGCCCCCCCAAATCAACAAACACAGGCACTGCAAGGCTGGAGGGTGCCAAGTGGCAGCCAGGCCATTTTGGCCATTCCTGTGGGTGGGTGGGGGGGGCTGCCTCAGCTGCTGTCCATATGCTTCACCTTTCATGGAAAAAGTCAGAACGTCCCTGTTTATTCTGAGCCAGGCCAGCAGCTGCCAGGAAACGTGTAAGTTGGCATCAGGCCTGCCACCCCTCCTGAAATCCTCCCCAACCTGCCCCTATACCTGCAATTCTGCCCCCAGGAAAAGCAGCAAAACAAGGGCTCTCCTTCCCCTCCTCCCCAGCAGGTCCCCTCATAAAATGCCAACCCCGAGATGACCTCTGTGTTCCCACTCTACACAGGCTCCTTCCTGAACCATCTAAAACAAAAGAGCTGCTCTCTCCAGCTCCCCCACCCCTTCTTAGAAAGAGCAGGAACTTACATTACAGCAAAGGGAACTTGAGGGGCTGCACCTAGACAGCTCCTCGCAGCCTCACCACGAGGTAGGGCTGCTTGACAAGAAATAGGATGCAGACCACACAGAGGCTTCCAGGGCGGCCACCAGGAGGGGCCAGGTGGGGAGAAGCGGCAGCAAGGCTGGGCCTTGAGGGTCTGGTTTTGTCCAGGTGGGTTTGCTGAGCTGAGGAGGAGGTCGAGGATGAGGATGGCAAGGACACTGCCAGGGAATCTGGCTGGTACTAGGCTGCTGGCTGGGCACCATCAAAGTCTGGCCATGAAAAGAAGCAAAACCCCAGTGCAGGCCCAGTCTCTGCTGCCATGGGCCACACAGGCTACATTGGCCCCCTGGGCCAAACTCCAGCTGTGCAGTCAGGCTCCCAGCGGTGGGCCTGTGGGTCCATGGCGCTGCCCTGAGGGAGCCCAGCAGGTGTGGGAGAGACAGGGACGGGGGAAAGCACCTGCCTCCCATCCACTGTGAGGGACACCTGGTATGACCTTTCGGCACCCCCCAATCGCTCGTGCCAGTCTTGTCCATGTTGGCAGCACCCCAAACACAGTTCCTAGCCTCTGACCCCAGGGGCGTGGCTGCTGCCCCCAAGGCTGAGGGGCCTGCTCAGGCAAGAGGCTCTGACCACTCCCCAGGGACCCCCTGGCATTCCCTCCAGGAAGGAAACACACATTTCCGGCACCTACACAGCCCTGGGGGAAGGAGGCTGGGAGGTGAGGATGGGGCAGTGGCTGAGGCAGCAGCAGAGATTCAAACACGGGCCACAGGTGCTCACTTGGGGTGGACTCGGGTGGGGCAGCTAGCCCCACAGGGAAGGTAGATCCGAAGGGGCCTGCAGGGTCCACCTGCTTCTCCCAGAGTTTTCTGAAGGTCCAGCAGGGGCCATGCCTTGTATTAGGCACGGAACCCACAGAAACAGCTTCCTTAAAATCAACTCTTCCTTTTAGCTGTCACCATCACTAACAGGGCAGTGGTCACAGACCAAGCTCAATACTCCCCAGGGAAGCAAATGTCTTGGAGAAGGAGGGTCCTCAGAGAGCCACAAGGACATTCAGCTGCACCAGGGCACAGGGGGCCTTGGCCCAGCAGGGCGCATAGCAGGGAATGCACACACAAGGGACTGCACCAGGGTGGGGAACACCCAGCTCCTGCCCCCTGCAGCCCTCCCTCCTAGGGACTGCAGGACCCCTGGGTGTCTTGTTCTCCTGAGGTCCCCTGGGCTGACGAGAGGCCAGGACGCTCTCTATAAGTTCTTAGGGGAAATCAAGCCATTTGCAAGGTTCTGACATGGCAGAGCTGAGGCCCTGGTGAGGAAAGGCAGCCCTTGGTGGAAGCCCGAGCAGTGGCTCCCACTGATAATCAGACTCAGAAAGGGAGAGGCTCTTACCGAGCCAGGGAGGGCAGAAACGGGCTGCTTTCATACCTTCACCTCATCTCGGCAAAACTAAGCTCACAGAACTGATGTCACAGTGCACTAAAGTAGGGCAGAAGACAAGCTGACATCTCGTGGATGTGTCTGAACAGCCCACTCTTGGCCACCTGGTGCTGCTTTGACAAAGGGCCCAGGCTGGAACCAGGACACTAGGGAGTTGTCACCCACCCCCAGGACTCGGCTTCTGTGAGTCCCAAAGCATGACTGCCTTTGCCTGGCAGTGGAGAGCCTGGAGTCCCAACAGTAGGTCGGGCTGCACAGGACACATCCTGTCCAGCTGGTCCCCGAACCTGCAGCCTACCTGACAGTTACTGGACTAGAAAAGGTGTGCTTTGAGAATCATCAAGTACGGCGCCTGGGCCGAGAATGCACCCTGGAACACGGCCTTCCACAGGGGCTGCCTAAGGAGAAAAGTGTGGGCTATGGGGAGCAGAATTCCAGACATCTGCTAGGGGGACAAAGAGTAGCCGCTGCAGAGGCTAGGGTCCTACAGCCCCATCCCCCAGCGGGGGTGGCAAGAAGCACAACAGGCCGCCAGCCTGACCCTGCTGAAGGTGAGGACAGAGTCTCCAAGACTCGGCAACTTGGCCACAGCCAGGACAGCCCAGGCCCTGGTTCCCTGCCCCCAGCCCCCGCAAACTGTGCCCTGAGGTCCCTTGGGCAGAGTGACCAGCCCTTAATCCACGGGCATCTGTTCACAAACCACCAAGAACACTGTGAGCATTGTGTGTATCCCACTGTGCTGACAGTGCCTCACACAGGGGCAGGACCAGAGCTCTGGGCAGGCGGAGTGGCACTTGGTGGTCCCCTGTAAGTCACCTAGGCAACTGGTGACTCTGACTTCAGAGCTGCCGTCCTAACCACTCATGCAAGGACAACACACCCAGGTCCAGAGAAGCAGGGAGCTTGCCCACCACCTGCAAGTGCCTCCCCAAGACCAGGGAACGCTCCTCCCTCCCACCTCTCACCAGCCCAACCCAGGAGTCCCCAGCCAGTTCCACATCTGACCACCAAGTCCTGCAGTGTATGTGGCACCTTCCGAGATTTGGTCTAGCTGGAGATTAAGCCTTAATCAGGCTTGTTACCCCAATTATGAAAATTCAAAAATGTAACTCACAGTAGCATATTACTTTTTCTAAGAAAAAATGAAAAGTGAAGAAGTGTTTTTTAAATTAAGCTTTATCCTTTGAGACAATTATAGAAGCACATATCGTGGGGAGGTAATAGACACCCACATGTCCCTACCAAGTCTCCTCCAACAACAACCTTTGCAGACCAGTCAAGGCCACATGCGGGGTCCTGACGCTGATTCCACAGCTCCAAGAACACAAGATCGATGGGGTCTTCTCAACAATCAGAAATACCCAGCAGACGTGTCATCATCAGACAAATGTAAAGATGCAACCGTTAAATTCTTCAACCTCCCTCCCTCCCTTGAAAAAATGTTTGGCTTAACACGTGAGTGATACTTAGTTACTCCCTCCCTGCACAGAGGGAAGGAAAATACAATTCCCCCTTCCTTTTGGCTCAAGATATCCTGATTAAAACAAGTAATTCCAGAAGACTCCTCCACACCACCAGTTCCGGAAGTTGCTGCCTTGATGAGCCACCAAGCTGCTGTAAAACACAGCTGTCTCCGTGGGTCCCGGCGGGCGCAGACACTGGGACGGGCGCCGGCTCTGTCGTCGAGGCGCTCACAGGCAGGCACACGTGAGCTCCTGGAGGACAGGGAGAGCGGCCGCCCCGACCCGCTGCGGAGCTTCCGGTGAGGCAGCTCCTCACCCGGACTCGGCTTCCATCGGGATCCTCTGGCCACAGCCCCTCATAGAATGACGTTTAAACATGTAAAGCGGGATGCACACTTTGTGCACACATGGATGCACAAAGATATAAACTACAAACTGCAGTCAGAACATTAAAGGCCAGAGACCCAGTGGTATCTGTGCTTCATCAACGCACCAGGTGATAAAACCAAGCAGGCTCTGGCACCTCCTGTAGTTGTGACATGGAGCTGAAAGCAAGTGATGTGTAAGGTACCCCCAGGTGACAGAACAGGGAATGCCTGGCCCATGCTGCTCAGTCTGTGGCCAGACTTCATGGCAGGACACGCTGTCAGCTTGAAGTTTGTGAAAACACACATGGTTTTCCCTCCATCCAGGTTCAAACTCCCTGAACTTATGAGACTTGGGCTAAGGACAAGGACAGAATGCCAGGCCCTAGCTTCCCCTCTGCACCACACAGGAGGGACCTTGGAAAGTGAAGCTCCTCCAGGCAGCGTCCATCCTAGGAAGGCAGCCTCCACCCTGCCCCACATCTTCCCCACCCACGTACCAGGTCCTCCATCTCATCCCACCTGGGCCTTGGAGAACACATTGAGAACTGCTGGACCCACTGTCCGAACGAACACACACACACACACCCACACACCCATGGACATGGGCTCCAGATCCCTGACAAAGCCCAGCTCCTTGATTTACAGAAAGGCCCAAGAACTTTCCAGGGAGAGGCTATGTCTAGTCTTAGCACACAACGGAACAGCTGGGGCAGTAGCCCCAAAAGACAGCCAGGCCAGAGCTCTGGAGGCTCTTCCACATTGACTTCCTTCTTAAAAACCTTGTGGCCTTGGCCAATAGTGGGACAGTCTCCCTATCCCTGCCTGGAGGGGGCTCAGAACTGAAAACCCAACTCCAGTCTCAGCTATTCAGAACAGTTGTCCTCAGAGAAGGCTCCCCATGGTCCCAGCGCACTAAGCCCCCTCCCAGCTGCACATACTGGCTACCTAGGTTGGTTACAACAAACAGCAGAACAAGGCCGGGCGCGGTGGCTCACACCTGTAATCCTAGCACTCTGGGACGCCAAGGTGGGTGGATCCCTCAAGGTCAGGAGCTCGAAACCAGCCTGAGTGAGACCTGCCTCTACTAAAAAAGAAACTAATTGACCAACTAAAAATATATATACAAAAAATTAGCCGGGCATGGTGGCTCATGCCTGTAGTCCCAGCTACTCGGGAGGCTGAGGCAGGAGGATTGCTTGAGCCCATGAGTTTGAGGTTGCTGTGAGCTAGGCTGACGCCTGCCACTCACTCTAGCCTGAGCAACAAAGTGAGACTCTGTCTCAAAAAAAAAAAAAAACACCAGAACAAACCAGAAAACATACTCATGGGACATGACAGAAGTGGTAGTCACAAGGTGCCTCTGGTAGCCAGTGCTGAATTCCATGAGGAATATTAGAAACTCAACTTGTTCTTGCTTTTCTTTTAACCCAAGGATTAAAATGAAAAACTGTGTTGTGAGGCAGTTTATAAATGCCAAGATAAGGGGCAAGGGACGAGGGCTCTTCTGCCTCTGCCCCTGGAGGCCCCAGCGTCTGCACAAAGAGCTCTCTGGTTTCAGTCCCTCCTCCACGCAGACAGTGGAGCCACCAACTACCCAGTTTGTCCTCAGACGAACATTCTTACAGATACCAGGTCAGGTTTCTGGAAACAAAACAGTCCTGAGATCCTGAGAGTTGCTATTTTTATCTAGTGCCCACTTTACCGTTTCACAGGCAGCCCATCCACTTTCTGATGTCACAGATCCTCCAGCCGTCCCCAGAGTTCATCTTTCTCTGCAAGCAGACAGACAGAGAAAGACCCCGGGTGCTGGGGGGAGGGTGAAGGAGGTGCTACTGATGGGGACAGACCGGGAAGGCAAATGCGGCACCTGGGCACCTTTGCCTTACAAGCTAGCAGCTGCAGCTCAGCTGTGCCCACAAGAGACCCTGCTCCAGGCGCGAGCAGGTCAGCACCTGCTGCTCAAAGGCAGTGGCCTGGAATCAGCACTGGCCTGGGTGGAGGCTGGTAAGACTGGCCTCCCTCCAGAGCACTACAGTCACCTTGGTCACAGGGTGGGGGTCTGCCAAGGGCAGGGCACAAGATCCAATCCCTGTTCCAAGGACTCCCAGACAGAGCAGGAGAACAAGCTGAGGGCCATTCCTGAGACTGCAGGACAGTGCAGGGGACACAGGAGGATGTGAGAGCCTAGCTGATGCAGGCCCATGGAGCTCCAGCACCTGTGTGGGGAAGGCACAGGCCTGTCTGGCTCACTGATTGGCAGAAGCAGGACCCAAAGGCCCTGTCCCTATTGTCCCTGCATCCAGCCTTCACTGCCTCCCAGAATTTTGGCTCAGCCTTTGGGTTGATTTTCACCCGTATATAGGAAAGTAAAACAGGCTTCCTTTTGCTCCAGTTCTCCTTTTGTATAGCAATTTATTTATCCATGTGTAGGACTACCTGATAGGCTCTATGTGATTATAGGTGTGGGGACACTGTCTAACCATTTGCCATTTACCGCCTCCCTGTCACTATTGCACACTGCATGGCCAAAGAGCCCATGTGCAATGCCACTGCCACGGCTTCTAAGCACATGTGGTAACTGGACAGGAGGCAAAGGTCACACACAGCGTTGCTTCCAGGTGCTAAGCCCTTTCCTTCCTAGCTACTAAAACTCTAAGTTGACTTTGTTTCATCTGTGGAAATACATGACTAACTGGGAAGCTAAGGCTGCAGTTTGTTTTTAAACTGGAAATGCGATTCTGGCAAGCTGATGGCCGCACGGGCAGAGTTGAGCGAAGAAGTAAAGTGTAGGAATTTTAAGTAACATTTAACACACAAACATGCTTCTCAACAACTTGGAGGACTCAGCTGACAGTTGTTCCTAATTTGTCAATGCTGACCTTGCCATTTTAACAAAAATAAGATTCTTAATGCTTGAAAAACACATTCCAAGAGCGCAAAGACATCCATCTCCCCAACTCCACTGACCCAGGCTCCAGCTTGTGTAGAATACACAGGAGGGACACGTCTGGCACTGCTTTCCTCACAGGGAAAAAAAACATAGTTTTGCATGATAAGATTTTCACATGCGTTTGTTTCATTTCAATCTCGCAGCCTCTGGACTGTGTTCTTCCTGAGTGGCTTTCCTGCCTTATGTTGTCAGAAAACCGCCTTGACTTTGAGTATAAACTGAAAACATGCAAACTAAATTCTCATCTCAGGGACCCCTTCCTTTCCCACCCTGGCTCCATGGGGCGCCTGGGCATTGGGTCCTCCCATCCTCTGGGCCTGCAGGTAGCACCACATCTGCAAGCCGTCCAAGGGCCTGCAAAAATGTTTGAGCTACAGGAGAAAACAAAACAAAACAAGTTATTGGCTCAAAAATGAGGAGATAGCAGAATCAAAATTAATAAATGCTTCATTAAATGTCTATAAAATGTATCATTATGTTAATTTCATTAATTGTTAAATGTAGGTTCCAAAAACATTTCATCAGTTTTGGGAACAATGTATGGGTTAGGTTTTTCTCACTTTGCATGAACTCCTGAGGACAAGGAATTCAGAAAAACCACACTGCCAATTAAATGAGTTACTCATAGCCAAATAATTTCAAAGGTAAATGGTTAATATCCTTGAGGACTTTTGCAGCAAAACACGGATATCTAACGAGTTACGTGGGGGTGAGTCTGTCAAGGCCAAGAATGCCCTAATCTACAAGGCCCCTCGGTTCTCTCCCTCTGGGGTGGGGGGGGAAGGGGATAAGGACCCACCGCCCTGCAGGCAGGCACAGGGACCTAGTGCAGACCACTCCCCAGTTTGATGAATGAGAAGGCTGAATCTAGAGAGGAAAAGGAAGGCCCAAGGTTACAAGGTGGTTGGCGGTGGGGCTGAGACTAGAACGCAGGTCTCTGGACCTCCGAGGGTCTGCGGAGCTCCAGGTCCTGGGGTCCCAGGGAGGGCTGCTTCCGGGCTGCCCCCACCTTCCCCGGAAGGAGGGGCACGCAATGGCTCGCGAAGCGCCTGGCAGGGCCTGGGACACCAGGCCACCCCCAGGACAGCGGGAGAGAGGCCGCCCACAGCCTAGCAGGTGGGGGTACTGCTCAGCCAGGAAAGGCTGCCCTGGGGGACTGGCCAGCCTAGCCAGTCTACAGCCAGACCTACAGCCTGAGGTCTGTAGGGTGGGAGGTGGGAGCGCGGCCCTGGCCGGGCACCTGTCACCGCGGGGCCGCACCGAGCGCCCTTCCCCCTCCGCCCTCCCTGGACACGGCCTGCCCACACGGCCCGGCGCACTGACCTCTGCACCCCGGCTGTCAGGTCTCCGCAGGCGCCAGGACACTGACTCGGACGGGTCCGGGGCGCGTATACCCAGTTCCGCGTCTGCAACCCGCTGCAGCGCCCGCGCACTGCGCATGTCAGGCCGGCCCGACTCGGCTGGAACCAGATCCAGCCGGCTGGTCAGTGACGCAAGCGCGCCGGCGCAGGGGCGGGGCCTGTGAGCTCTGCACCACCCCAGGAGGGCCAGGGAAGGGGCCCGGGTGAGGGCCAGGGCAGGCCCCGTAGCCACTCCAGGACTCAGCCACTGGAAGAAGTCACAGGAGCAGTGCCTCGAGCTGCTTCCTATTTCCCTGCCCATAACGTGTGCCCAAATCTGGCCCTGGTGTGCGGCCCCCACTCCCACAGCGCCCATGCCCGCCCCGGGATCCCGGTGCCAGGCCTCTGCCCGCTCCCGGGCCGGGCCGCAGTCCCCGACTCCACCTCGCTCGGACCAGTCTGCACCCTCAGCGTCAGGGGACACGACAGACCCTCTGCAGCACCCGGATGGGAGGTGGCATTGTCCACAGACGACGCATGACGCTCGGGCAAGGAAGCGCGGCGTGCCTACCATCCCGACTGCGCCATGCGCGAAGGTGGATGCTCAGTAAACGCTCACTGAATAAATGACTGGACCACACCACTTTGTCCTCACCACATACATGACGTCTGAACATCTAGAGTTTGTGTTCCCTCCTCCAAGACCACCGATCAATTTATGGTTCGAGGAAACCGCAGCCACAGGCTGGCACCAGGAGCCTGCAGAGCACTGGAGGGGCGTGCAGGGAGCTAGCAGCTGCGGCACTCGTGCAGCCCAGGGGGACACCAGGCTCTGTTCGCCACTGAGGCTCTTGGCGTGCTGGGCTCAGGCGGGAGGGCGTGGGCTTCCCGCCTTGGGCGTGGGTGTCCCAGCTCCCCAGCCTGATAAAGATCTACAGGGTCCTGGAGCCAAAACTGCAGCTGTTCATGTTTTTCCTTTTGGCCATTCCACCCACCCACGGGCCTGTCCACACGCAGGGGCTTGCTCAGTCGTGCGGTGGGGGCAGCCCTGCGGGACTGCAAAGGCCTCACCAGGGCTGCTGGACAAAGGGAGCGCGGGGGATGGGAACAGGGTACGAGCCTGCCACTGCAGGCTGCCTCTGTGCTGGGTGTGCTGCTTGTTCAATCCCTGTGCCACTGGCGCCCACACCCCCTTTTACAGATAAGGAAAGTGACACTGAGATATGTTAAAAATTTCTAAGACCACTAGTTTCATGGAATGGACTCATTTCCCTACACACTGACTTCCTGGCACCATTCCAGTGTAAACCTCCAACCCAAGGCAGCCACCTGCTAGCACACAAGAGACTGCCCCCTCTGACAGGATTCCTTTATCCCACTGTTCCGGTGACTTCAAAGGGCTGCTTTGGGATACTGGACAAAGAGAGTGGGAGGGGGAAGCTGGCCTGGCAGGAGAGTGCAGCCCACAGGGCCCGGCCTACCAGCCCTAGTGGGATAGGGTGAGATGCCGGCAGAGGACACATAGCCCACAAAGAGGGCTTCACCACACTCATTTCAAGCTCCCAACCACGCTGCTGTCCACACTTTACAGAGGAGGAACCTGAGGCTCATAAGGGTGTGAAATGACCAGCCAGTGTTCCTCCCTGAGCCATTCTCTGCCCAGTGACTGGCCTGTAGGGCTGTGCTGTTCCTCTCCCCCCCCACCCAAGGCTACCCACAGGCATGCGGCATTGGCAGGTGGAGTTCTTCCCAGGCAGGTGCCGCCATGCCTACTTCCCACCTGCCTCTGGCCCTGGGCCCCCACACAGAGCAGCAGGTGCAGGGCTGCTTACTGTACCCATCCTGGGCTTGGAGGACCTGCAATAGCCCTATGGGTGGAGCAGCAAGGGTGTGACGCAGACTTCAGCAGTGGCCGGGTCCACACAGAGAGGCCCCGGAGCCTCACCCAGCAGCTCAGCAGGGCCTGGTCAGGAAGGGGGTGTATAAGAGAGATGTGGGCACATCCCATAGATGCTTGTTAAACAACTTCTCTGTACTGGATGCTGTCCTAAGTAGACTGTGGTAACAAAACAAACAAAATGCCTGCCTACTGAGAGGTCACGTTAAGACTCTAATATTGAGGGAAAAAGCTAGGTGGGGAGGGATGTAGGGAGGGTGGGCTAACTTTTGTGATATGAAATAGCTGGGGGATAGCAGAGGTGGGGGAGGCAGCACTGGCAGGTGAACCTGAGTAGAGACCCCAAGGAGAGAGGGCACTGCCACAGGGACAGCTGAGATGAGGAGATGGAGGGCAAACACCAAAGTCCTGGGGAAGGGCCAAGAGTGCAGGGCAGCCAGGGGGATGCACCAGGGATGAGAACAACCTGTCCTAAACCTTCCCCCCAAGCACCTCAAGACCACATGGATCACTCTGATTCACTCAGGAAAGACTTGGTCTGACACATTCTTATTAACCAAACTGCTGTTGGTCAGCATGCTCCATTTCCTGTGCATGCCACCTCCCAGAGAACTCAGGCTTGTGAAATCCACAGGAAACGCTGCAGGTTTGATAAACGTGCCCACCAGATCCAGAGGATTGACTGCTCACAGCCTGCAAAGATGCAGGCACTTCCCTTTGCTCAGCCTACTTGGAGACAAAGTGTCTCTGGGATGGAACCTGAGGGCTGTGGACGAAGGCCGCAGGGGGCTGGGTCTGCTGTCAGCCATAGCAAGGGAAGAGCCCTGGAAGGCTCCTACCTGCCCGCGCCCTCCCTGCGCTGGTGGCCGGGGGCATCCACTGAGGGTCACGGGAGACAGTGGCCTCAGGCAGTGGAGGCCCCAGGCCACATCACTAGCACCCACAGGTGTGACAGTGGCACCTGTGGACTCTACGGCCCCCACTGCAGAGAGGGGGGCAAGCATATCACAAATTGACCAGTCCATGACAGAAAACACTCCACAGGAGGTGGAACCTTAGAGTCTAAAGAAATCACTTTCTAAGAAATCTCATGATGAGTTATCAGAAAAACACAACACAAATGCACTTCATTTGCATGTAGTACCTCTTTACCAAATGCCACTCCTCCCAAACGAGTCGTATTGTTTGCTTGACAAATTCTGCATACCCTTCAAGACCCTGCATGGACACTCCCTCTTCTAGGAAACTTTTGTAAGCCCCACAAAGCATGAGGGTCTCTCCTTTATGAGGCACAGTGTTGGCAGAGGATATAGAGTCTCAGGAGTTCTAATAAACACTTAAAGAATTAACACCAAATTCTACACAGTCTCTTCCAGAATAAAGAAAAGGAACACATCCCAATTTGTTTTAGTATTACCCTACCCAAAACAGATAAAAACAGTACAAAAAGGAAAACTATAGATTAATATTCCTTGTAAATATAAATGTAAAAATCGTATTCAGCAACATATAAAAATAATTATATACCATGACCAAGTAGAATTTATTCCATAAATGCATGGCTGCAATATTCAAATTCATCAGTAAATCTACCATGTCAAAAAGGTTAAGAAGAAATATCACATGGTCATAGTGACTGTTCTTCTGACAATTCAAAACCCATTCATGATAAAAACTCTCAAAAAACTAGTGGTAGAGGCGAGTGTCCTTGAGTTGATGAGGAGCATCAGCAAGGTCAGGAAGAAGGTGAGATGCCCACTCTCACCACTGCTGTTCCACGTTGTACCGACGTGCTGCCCAGTGAAACAATGTAGGAGAAGGAAGCCAAAGGCGCACAGATCAGAAAGGGAGAAATACAATGCCTGCATTTGCAGGTGGCAGGATGGACAATGCGGAAAATCCCTAGCATTGAGGGAGTTCAGCAAGGACACAAGACCAACATACACACGTCACTATATTTTTATACATTGACAATGAACGCATGGAAAAAAAAAATATTAACACCACCACTTACAATTTGCTCGACAAAAATGAAACACTTAGTTGTAAACCTAATAAACAGTTCAAAACACCAAGGAGGGAACTTTTAAGAATCTAAATAAATGGAGAGCCACATTGTTCATGGATTGGAAATAAACATAGTAAAGGTGTTAATTCTCCCAAAATTGATACATAGGTTTAATGCAATTCCTACCAAAAATCTTAAGATTTTTTTGTAGCTCAAGACAAGCTTATTCTAAAATTTATATTGAAAAGCTAAGGAACCAGGATAGCTAAAACAATGTTGAAAAAGAAGAAAACACTAAGAAGAATCATTCTACCGATTCCGAGGCTTATCACATAGCTACAGTAATCAAGACAGTGTGGTACTGATGGACAGAGAGGAACACAGGTAAGCAGAAAAGAATGAAGAACACAGAAATTGCCCCACATTAATAATTCGAGTTTTGAAAAAGGTTGTAAAAGCAATTCAATGGAGAAAGGAGTCTTTCAACAAATAGTGCTAGAGCAATGGGACATCTATAGGTAAAAAAATAAACCTTGAACCAAAGAAGATAGATAGATGGCAAATACGCACATGAAAAGATGCTCAACAGCATGTGTCTGTTAGAAAACTGCAAATAAAAAACAGACACCAGTGCACCCCATCACAGTGACCAAATCCAGAATACTGACACCATCACCAATGCTGCGGAGGATGTGCAGCCACAGGAATCTCAGTCTCTGTTGTTGTGAATGCAAATGGTGTGGCCACTCTGGAGGACAGGCTGATGGTCTCTTACAAAACAAGACATGCTTTTGCTTTATGATCCAGCAGTCACGCTCCTTCGTATTTACCAAAATGAGTTGAAAACTTATGTGCACACAAAAACCTGTGCGTGGACGTTGATAGCAGCTTTACTTGTAATTGCCAAAACTTCGAAGCAACCAAGATGTCCTCCAGTGGGTGAATGAATAAGCTGTCATACGTCTATACAATGGGATGTTATTTAAGCACTAAAAGATATTAGCTACCAAGCTATGAAAAGACATAGAAGAAACTTAAATGTAATATTGTAAATGCATATTACCAGGTGAAATAAGCCAATTTCAAAAGGCTAAACACTATAGGATTCCAACTGTATGACATTCTGGAAAAGCAAATGATGGAGACAGTGGAAAGATCGGTGGGTGTCAGGGGCTAGAGGAGAAGGGGTTGAGCAGGTGGAGTATGGGGTTCTCAGGGCAGCAAGACTACTCTGTGTGA